CAAAAAACAAATAATCTGATTAAAAATGGGCAGAGGACCTGAATAGATATTTGTCTAAAGAAGACATACAGATAGGCAACAGACAAATGAAAAGATGCTCAACATCATTAATCATTGGGGAAATGCAAATTAAAACCACAATGAGATATCATTTTACACCTGTCAGAATTGCTGAAATCAAAAAAATAAGTGTTGACGAGGATTTGGAGAAAAAGGAACTCTTGTGCACTGTTGGTAGATAAGAGCAATTTTAGGGTAGTTGTAGAAATGGTGGATGCAAAACCCTCTTTATGAAAGAATGGAAGGAGAAAAATTGAAAACAGTTGCTGTATGTTGTACATATTTTTCCCTGATTTTGTTTCTGATACATAGGTCTTTTACATTTAAATGTGGCTAGATGTGTTAGTACTTTTTTTCTTTATGACTTTCTCTTTGTACTTTTTTGCTTCCCAAGATGGGATATTCACTTGCTCCATGGAACTTATATTCCTGAACAGTGCTGTCTAATAGAACTTTCTGCACTGATGGAAAAGTTTACTATTTCTGCTCTCCAATATGGTAATCATTAACTGCATGTAGTAATTGAGCATTTGAAATGTGTGTAGTATGACTGATGAAATGAATTTTTAATTTAACATGCTTTTTTCATAATTAAACTTTTTGTTTTGAGATTACAAATTCACATGTTCTAATAAATTATGCAGAGAAATCTCCTGTGCTTTTACCCAGTTTCCCTGATGAAACATCTTTGCACAACTATACTATGGCATCACAACCAGGATATTGTCATTATTATAGAACATTTCCATCACTACAAGAATCCCCCAACTTACCCTTGTATAGCCACACCCACTTGTCCTCCTCTCCCGTCCCTTCCTTAACTCTTGGCAATCATTAATTTGTTCTCTATTTCTGTAATTTTGTCATTTCAAAAATGTTATATTAATGGGATCATTCAATATATAGCCTTTTGGGATTGGCTTTTTTCCACTCAGCATAACTTTGGAATTTCATCCAGGTTGTTTTTGTATATCATCGGTTTGTTCCTTTTTATTGCTAACTAGTATTTCATGGAATGGAAGTATAATTTGTTTATCCGTTCACCCATTGAAGGACATCTGAATTGTTTTCTGTTTTTCAGTTATAATGAATAAATCAGCTATAAACTTTATAGGATTTTGGGTGAACTTAATATTTGATTTCTCTTAGATAAATGTCCAGAAATGCAATTGCTGAGTTGTTATATGATGTTACGTGTTTAGTTTTTAAAGAAACCTCCAAACTCTTTTCCATAGTGGCTGTACTGTTTTTCATTCCTAGCAGAGTGTATGAGCCATCCAGTTTCTCTGTATCCTTGCCAGCATTTTGTATTGTCATTAGTTATGTTAGCCAGTTTGATAGATGTGTAAGTTAATAGCTCATTGTATGTAGTTTTAATTTGCATTTACTCAATGCCTAATGATGTTGAACATCTCTTATGTGCCTATTTGCCATTCGTATATCCTTTTGGTGTTATGCTTTTTGCCCATTTTCTAATTGAATTGTTTGGTTTTTACTGTGAAGTTTTGATAAGTTCTTTATATATTTCAGATACTAGTCATTTGTTGGATATATGGTATGCATATATTTCCTCCAATCTGTAACTTGTCTTTTCATCTTCTTAACAAGGTCTTTCACAGAGCAAAAGTTTTTAATTTTGATGAAGTACAGTTTATCTGTTTTTCCTTTTATGGATCATACTTTTGGTGTTTTGTTTAGCTCTAGGTCCTGGAGATTTCCTCCTGTTTTTCTTTTTTTTCTTTTCCTAAGATGTTTATAGTTTTATGGATTTAAGTTCTTGATCCATTTTTAGTTAATTTTTCTATAAGTGTGAAACTGAGGTCAAGGTTTATTTTTTTAATCTGTGGATGTCCACTTGCTGCAGTTTCATTTGTTGAAAAGACTGTCTTTTCTCCATTAAATTGCTTTTGCACCTTTGTCTAAAGCCAGTTAGGCATATTTATGTTGCTGTATTTCTGGGTTCTCTCTTCTGTTTCCAAATCTATAATCTGTTTTCAGATCTATAGGTCTGTCCCTCTACTGATACCATACAGTCTTGGTTAGTGTAGTGATATAACAAATCTTGAAATTGAGTTGACTGATTCCTCTCTTTCAGAATTGTTTTAGCAATTCTAGTTCCTTTGTCTTTCCATTTAATTTGAGAATAATCTTGTCCATATCCACAAAAAAATCTGAGAATAATCTTGTCCATATCCACAAAAACTTTGTCTGGGGTTTTGATAGGAATTCTGCATATCAATTTGGGGAGAATTGACATCTTTACTATGTTCAGTTTTCTAGTCTGTGAACATGCTGTGTCTTTCCATTTATTTAAATCTTTGATTTCTTTCATCAGTGTTTTATGTTTTGCCCTTCTTTTTCTAGGTAATAGTGGTGGGGGCTTAGATTATTGATTTGAGACTTTTCCTCTTTTGTGATTTGTATGCATTTGGTTATGAATTTGCTATAAATTTCTGGCATTGCTGCTTTGGCTGTGTCCTACAAATTTTGATGTGGTATATTTTCATTTTCATTCATTTCAATGTATTTTTAAATTTTTCTTGAGACTTTTTCTCTTTGACTCATGGATTATTTGGTATATTGCTTAAGTTCCAAGTGTTTGGAGATTTATCGGTTATCTCTCTGTTAATTGATTTCTAGTTTGATTCCATTGTGGTCAGAGAATACACTTTATATGATTTCAGTCCTTTTAAATTTGCTGGAGTTTAAGGCCTAGGACATGGTCTTTCTTGGTACATATTTGGTGGGCACTTGAAAATAATGTATTCTGCTATTGTTGGGTGGAGTGTTCTATAAAGATTGACTATCCTTAATTGATGGTGTTATTGTGTTCTGTATCCTTGCTCATCTTCTGTCTAGTTATTCTATCAGTTGTTGAGAGAAGGATTTGAAGTTTCTATAATTGTGGATCTGTCCATTTCTCATTTCAGTTCTGTCAGCTTCTGCTTCACTTATTTAGTGGCTCTTTTGTTTGGTGCATACACATTTAGGGTTGGTATGTTATCTTGGTGCACTGATCCTTTATGATTATATAATGTCCTTCTCTGTCTCTGGCAGTTTTTCCCCCTCCGCATTCTATTAATGTGCTATTAATAAAGTGCTATTAATAAAGAAAGGTGTAATTTAACTGAATTTAAATAGGCACATGTGGCCGGTGGCTGCCGTACTGACAGTGCAGTTCTGGAAGATGGAGAGAGCTATGACACAATAAATTTAATTAAAAGGTACATTTTATAGTATGGGTGTAAAGGGCCAATGGGTGGTTAGAGGAAAGGGAGATTGGGGCAGAGGGAGCAGGGGACATGATTTTAAATTGGGTAATCAAGGAAGAAATCATTCACTGTGACACTTGAATAAAGATTTAAAGGAGTGAGAGTTAGCAGTGCAGATATTCAGGGGAAGAGTACATCAAAGGCCTGCAGGGAGGTGGGCTACTCTAAGAACTTTAGCTTTTACTGAGTGATGTGGAGAACCACTTGAGGATTTAGAGCAGACTTGATTCATTTTGACTTGTTGTGTGTTGTATGTATGTATGTATGTATGTATGTTGTATGTTGTACAAAGATCATTCTGGCTGGTGTGTTGAAAATAGACTGTAGGAGACAAGGGTTGGAAGCAGAGAGAACATTTAGGACCCTGGAATATGAGTGAATAATGACAGTAGCCAGACCAAATGGTTAGAGCAGGTTTTGGAGAAAATATCAGACATTTAGTTTTAGATAAGTTAAATTTGAAATGTTTATTAGATACATCCAAGTGGAGAAAGCAAGTAGACTATCTGGGGTTCTCTAGATCAATGAGTCCCTGCCCTTGTGGAGCTTACTTACACTTTACTTGAATATGGGTAGTAAATACAATTTAAAAAATGAGTAAAACATACACTGTGTTAGAAGTTGATAAGTCTTATGAGAAAATTCAAGTAAGGAAAGTAGGGTAAGTGGTGTTGGGGGACCGACTTCTTAAGTGGGTAACGTTTAAGTAATGATAGGAAGGTGTTGAGGAAATAAACTTTTATAGATACCTGAGAGAGAAGTAGTTTAGGTAGAGGGAGCCAAATGTAAAGATTCCCTGAGGGGAGCATGGCTGGTGTGTTTGAAGAAGAACAAGGAGGCCAAGTGTGGCTGGAGTAACACTGAGCAAAGGGAAAGAGGTTTAGGGATGACAGTACTGAAGTAACACATGTCTGAGTTATGGGCCATTTTAAGGGTTCTGGGTTTTACTCTGGGTGAAATGGGAAGCCAGTAGATAGTTAAGCAGAAGATATGTATGATCTGACCTGTAGTTTAACTGAGTCACACTGATTGCTCTGCTACATATAAATAGCAAAAGGGGCAAGGAGATTGGTTTGGAGACTTTTACAGTAATCTTGACAACAGGCTGTGGTGGCAGTGAGATAGTGAGGCAAGGTCATAGTCTGGATACATTTGAGGGTCGTATTGACAGGATTGGCTTACTGGTTGGATTTGGGTTGAGAGGAGTTAGGATTTACTCCAAGATTTTTGACCTGAGCAGTTGGAGGAATAGAGTTGTATTAACTGAGACGGGAAAGACTGAGAAGAGCAGATATGAAGGAGGCGATCAGGAGCTCAGTTTTGGACATGTTAAGTTTGTAATGCCTATTAGACATCCAAATGTAGGTGTTCAGTAGGCGTTGTCGTTATGAATACTGTTTTATGGTTTTCAAAAATGAAATAATGACAGTAAAACAGTGTACACACTGTTGCGAAAATTCATTATATTTGTTAATATCTTGATTTTTAACATGTTCAATCCTGGCAAAATTTGAATATTTTGGAGAGAGAGAAGTTGTCTGACTGCTTTTTGGCTTTGCTACCAGAGTTGATGGTACTTTCTTAGAGTTAAATAAAGATGTCATTCCGATTTTAGAAATGGAAATATAACTATATAGTCTGAGTGTTTTTACTTGCTTTCTATTTTAGGTCCTATTACTGCTGGATTGTGCAAGATATTTAACCGTGTTTTCTTTGAGGTATGACTTAAATATCAAACATCTTAAATAAGAAAAGGGAAACATTTTAGTTTTGGAAGTCAGAATGCCAAGGAGAAAGAAAAATCTTGGGGGACATCCTTTTTGGAAGACTGCAAGCTCTAAGGAAGTTGTCGTATCCAGTGTTGCTAGTCATGAGGAGCCAACTACTACTCTTCCTTCCATGTGTGAGACAAAAGTTGATCAGGAGGAACTCTTCACCAGTATCTCAGAGATGTTTTCTGATCTGGATCCCGATGTAGTGTATTTGATGCTTTCTGAATGTGATTTCAAAGGTGAGAAAAAGTTTAGTTTGAACACTTTGCATCGTATAAGTAGACTTCATGTACTGTGCCATGACCAGTAGTAATATAGAAAAATGACTGCCTTATTTCTGTTTTGTTAATTTATTGAGCATCTGCTATGGGCAAGGTACTAAGTTGATACTGTGAATGATATGAAGAAGAAAGCATTGTTTTTTTTCTGCTTTTGAGAAATACACAGTTCTAGATATAAGATGTATGTATAGATATCATATTTTATGTTTCATTTCTTTTTATCTTCCCTCTAGAACAGGTTGGCACTATTAACATTTTGGACTGGATAATTCTTTTTTGTGAGTGGCTTTCCTGTGAATCATAGGATGTTTAGCAGCATCCCTGGCCTATACTCTGTAGATTCCAGTAGCAACCTTCAGCAGCCTGTTGTGACGATTAAAAATGCCTCCATCTGTTGTCATATGTCCCTTGGGGACCAGAATCATCCCCAGTTGAGAACCACTGTCTTAGGATGTAAGCTCCATAAAGACAGATTTTATAAACTGTTTTTACTGCTGTATCCCCAGCCCCTAAAATAGCAAATGATTCAGATAGGACCTCAGTAAATATTTATTGAGTGAAAAGATAATTGTAATTGTGGGAATGAGAGCTGATTAGGTTTTGATGCTAATAGAGTAGTGTTTCACAATATTGGCTTTGGAGTCAAGAAACCTGGGTTAGATTTCCAGTTCTGCCACTGAAGCTCTCTGGGTGTTTCCTTATCTTTTAATAAGAAAAATAGTAGTATGTACCTCATAGGACTTTTCTGGTGAGAATTGAGTTGTGTGTTTTTTGTTTTTTTTTTTGTGAAGTCTTCAGTATAGTATTATTAATAACTTGTAATAAATTGTTTAGAAGTATTTTGGCAAATAGACAAACTATCAAAGTTGACTGAATGAATAAATGTTGTTGCTTAGTGTTGCTATTGGCCATGATTAGTATAAGATAAAATTATTCTAGATTGGGGAAGTTTTGCTAATGCATGAGAAACTTCCATTTTTATTCATTGCATGGACTGTGATGTGAGCATATCTTAACTATCCTCTTATGTATGCAAAAAAACAGTTTTCGGCAGTCCATATGATGCTGAGAAATGATAGTTTGTAGAATTTTATGTGTGACTTCAATACTTATTTCCTGTTGTTGAGGTGTTAAAAATCTGTTTCAGATACACTAACATAGTAATGAGGAATTACAAGAAAAATATATTACCCTTATATCCTAACAAAAAACATTTCTCTTTTCCAGGATCTTCTCTACACCTTGTTCATAAATACTGATATTTTGAGTATTTTGAATAATAGTATTGATGAAATTATGTATTCTGCTTTTTAAACTTAACATAAGCATTTTTTCAGTGTTGCCGTGATCTTTGTATTTATTTTTAATAGCTTTCTAATATTTCACTGAATTGTTGTGCTCTAATTTTTTAATTATATCTAAATTTTTCATGAATAATTAATACAGCAGAGGACATCTTGGTACAAACCACTTTTCCCTTCTTTTGGCTTTTTTTCTTAGTCCAACGTTTTATTTTCATATGTCACAAGGTAAGAACAGTTTTCAGTTCTTGGAAACATACTGCTAAATTGCCTACCAAACAGGTGTGCTGATTTGTCATCCTGCTAGCACTGTTTAAATATAGTGGTTTCACCACAGCCTTTTCAGCATCGTGTAGTATTAGTTTAAGATTTTAATGGGAATAAAATTTTGCTTTTTCTTAATTTGTTTTTTCTTTAAATAAACAGGATTATTGAGCATTTTTGTACATGATTATATATTAATTTTTGTATTCTTGTGTGAATTGTTTATTCATATTTTTTTTGTTGTTTTATACCATTGTTTTAATTTTTTCCAACACTCTGTGTAAGGACTTTTCTTTTGTGTGACTGCTTTTTGGCTTTGTCTGATTGCTCTGCTACATATAAATAGCAAAAGGGGCAAGGAGATTGTAAAAAAAAATATCTTTTACTTATTTTTACTTAATACTGTTTTTTATTATATACACCTTAATTATTTTGGTTGACCTTGTGGTTTTTCTATTATGTAGAGTTTCTTCGTAGAAATACCTCTTATGTTTGCTTGCGTGCTTTCTTTTTTTTTTTTCCCCCCATGTTTAGGGCTTCTAACCTTTGTACTATTGCTATAATATCCTAACTGGTCTCTCTGCCAGGCTTGCCCCTCCAATCCCTCTTTGTTTTTCTTCTTAAGGGAACATTAATTGGGTGCTTACTAGGTGCCAGTCCTTGTGCACAGCACATTTTCATGGATTATCTCATTTAATCCTCACAAGAACCCTATGAGGTAGGTACCTTTATTATCCCTGTACTGCAAATGAGAAAATCAAAGCTTAGGAAAGTTAAGTAATGTGTTTTAAGGGTCATATCCAGTAAGCAGAGATTTAAGTGTTGGTTTTCTGACTCCAGACCAGAGCTGTTACCTCCTGTGCTGTGCTTCCTTTTCATATTTATTTTCCGTAAAACAAAACAAAACAACACAAAAATAAGCAAAACTCCAAAATTTCAAATGCTTAACAGTTCTAATTCTGTATTTGTATTATAACAGAAAGAGCTCAGCATTGGAGTCAGACATACCAGTCCTGGCTCTGTCACTTAATATCTGTGTCACTTGGGCCAAGTTAATATACTTTTTGAACTTCACTTCTTCATCTATTTGCTAGAAATATTATACCTCATAGTATTATTTGATGGTTCATTGAGGTGATACATATAAAGCTCCTAGCTCAAATATGGTGACAGGTAGTTTCCCTAGAAAGTAAAATTGATTTGTCCTACCATGACATATAGCACTTTTTCCAATTTCACTTGATCTTTTCCAGATTTGTCTCCTTTCATCTACCATACTACTGTGTACCCACACTCCAACCAACTTCTCTTAATACCTTAAACATGCTTTGTGTTTTCAAGACTGGCTTTGCCTTTCCCTTTTGTGTCTGACAAGTTTCTTTTTAATCTTCAAGTCCCAGTTCACATATTACCTTATGTGAAATCTTTCCTTATTCTCCTATAAGGCTGCTATGGCATTTGTGTATTACTAAAAGTGTGTATTATTTAATCTATATTATATTATAATGTAATTGTCTTCTAATTTAATTATCTTTAATTACCTCCATTAGACTGCAAAAATCCCTTAAGTGTAGTAAAAACTATGTCTTATTTACTTTGAACAGAGTATGTCATATGTAGTACATGCTGATACCTATTTTTTGTATTAAGTGAAATTCATAGCATAAACCATATAAACAAATTAGATTTATAGGAGAGTGCTTAAAAATGCTTAATATTTAAAAGGATAGGCAGTAGCTAAGTATTTGTTGAATAAATTGTTTTTTGGGTCTTTATAAATAAACATAATATATGCAATTTTTAGATATAATTTATAGATATTTTTAGATAAAATTTATAGATGTTTTATGTTTTATGTTTATTCACATTTATCAGAGATTATCTACTTGATGGCAGTTTGTTATCCTAGTTTATTACAGTTTGTCTGATAGTAACAGCATTGCATGACTCCATCATTCAAACCTTTCACTAATACAGACTGGTATATTCATAAAATATTAACTGAAAAATGACTTGAATATTTATAAATTATAAATTTCTGTATTCTATTCAGTACATGGATTTTAATCAAATTATAGTTTACTTATTTCAATACACATGTATGCTGCTCTTCTTGTTGTACAGTTGAAAATGCAATGGATTGTCTATTAGAATTATCTGCCACTGATACCAAGGTAGAAGAATCGTCTTCAAAAAGCTTTGTTGCTTCTGAGAACCAAGTAAGTGCTGTGGGACGTGAAATAATGGAAAAGTATCCTCCTGAAGAAGAGAATGAAGATTCAAAAATGGATTCATTTTTGGACATGCAGCTAACTGAAGACTTGGATTCTTTAATACAGAATGCTTTTGAGAAATTGAACTCTTCTCCTGATGACCAAGTGTACTCATTTTTGCCTTTGGAAGGTGTTAATAGTTCTAGTGACCCGAGTGCATTTATAAATTCCGATTCCGATTCAAGTATTATGACTCCCATTCTTTCTACACAAAATATGGAATTGAACAGTGAAAATTTAGAGAATTCTGCCTCTGCATTAAATTCAAACACCTTAATGTCACCTTCTGCTTCTAATGAGTCCAAAAGTTTTATAAAGGATGACACATTGGCATTGGAAGATTCTCTTCTCAGTAGTTCTTTAAATGTAGCAAATGACACTATGGTGGGTGGTAGCAATCTCAGTCAAAGACAGAAAGAGCTTTTAGAATCTGAGTGTGTTGAGACTCTGTTCTCTCCAGCCCCTGTAGATTTGGATGCCAACGAACCTCAGGCTCCGTTAAGCCTTACTGTGCGAAATCTGGGCCTTGATTTACTAGGTACAAGTGGGGATCAGAAATCTACTTCTGTCCCTGATGCATTTGTACCTTCTGAAGAATTCAGTTTCAAGCCACACAAACATACTGAACTGCCGTCAAAAGGGAAGGATGTGAATTACTGCTCTGTACTTACCCCTCTCCCTCTACTGCTGCCTCCTCCTCCTCCACCAATGTGGAATCCAATGATTCCTGCTTTTGACCTCTTTCAAGGAAATCATGGCTTTGTAGCTCCTGTTGTAACCACCACTACACACTGGAGACCGGTCAACTACACATTTCCCCCTCCAGTTATTTCTCACACTTCCCCAACAAAGGTATGGAGAAATAAAGAGGGAACAAGTGCTTATCAAGTACAAGAAACCCCAGTTTCTCAGGTTGTAAGAAAGAAGACATCATCTTATGTTGGACTAGTTCTTGTTCTTCTCAGAGGGCTTCCAGGATCAGGAAAATCTTTTTTGGCAAGGTATGAGGTTTAATTAAGTTTAAAAAAAAGTATATGTGAAATGCTATTGCTTATAGAGATGTTTAGTAACCCCTAAAGTCTTTTCTTTTTACTAATTTTTTCTTTGTAGCAAATAGCAGCACTCTTTTCTCCAAAGTTTTTATTGAATTCTTCTATCTTAGACTATCATTTTGGGAGATAGAATAGAAGAAAAATTTAAAGATAATTCCAAGACTGTAAGCTTCTGAAATCAGTAGAAATAGCTTTATGTGAAAGAGAACTAATTTGAATGGGAAAAAAATAAGTTCAACTTAGATTGTAGTGTTACAAAACCATAATTGATTTTGAATTCAAGGAATAAAATAGACTTGTTTTACTTCAGCTTTCTTGGGAGTCAAACTTCTGCTAAGAGGATTTCCAGTATGACTTGTCTGGATATTACTGTATTCTCACTTTTAAGTAACAATTCTTTATTTGGATTGTGACCTTGTAAAAATTAGGAGAGAGAATTTAGGAGAAAAATTAATGGAAATAATTCCATTTATCATTCACAGGACTTTGCAAGAGGATAATCCAAGTGGAGTTATTCTTAGTACTGATGATTATTTTTACATAAATGGACAGTACCAGTTTGATGTAAAGTACTTAGGAGAAGCACATGAATGGAACCAGAATCGTGGTAAGAATAGACATTAGATTTTGGGTAATATTAAGAGCAGTATAAAATATTTGTATTTTGAGAGGTAGACAATTTTTAGAAAGTTATAATTCCCTGTAATTATTTTTCCTTTTTAAGATTTCCTTGAGAGAGAGGGAGAGAGAAAGAGCACGAGTGGGGTGAGGGGCAGAGGAAGAAGCAGACTCCCTGCTGAGCAGGGAGCCTGATGTGGGACTCAATCCCAGGATTCCAGGATCATGACCCCAGCCGAAGGCAGTCGCTTAACCCACCGAGCCACCCAGGGGCCCCCTAAAATGGAATTTGTATTGTTAAACGCTACTCTTTCCTAGATTGATTTTGTTGGTATGGGGGGACAGTGTGAGAGTAAAAATGGCTCTCCTCAAACTGAATCTGTAGAGAAGAGATAAAACCTTACTGTTTTTATTAGTGCAATGATCTCTTCACTGAAGATGGTTTTATCATGAAATGTTTAGTTATAGTTTGAATTTCATATGAGGAATTTTTTTTCTTTTTTTTTTTTTTAGTAGGCTCCATGGCCAGCGTGGAGCTCAACTTGGGGCTTGAACTCAGGACTCTGAGATCAAGAGTCAGCAGCTTAAGTGACTGAGCCACCCAGGTGTCCCATGAGGAATTCTTAATACACATAGACAATATTTTGCCTTCATTTTATGATAAAGGCACTGTGAAAGTGATTCTTGAATTTGCCATCTTCAGACATTATTGAATTTTTCTGTATTTTTTCTTGAACTGAATATTAAAGTGAGAACGCAGGACTATGAAAATACTATTACAACAAAAAATGAAAACAGTATCCTGTGGTGAAGAATAGTCTTGGATTTGGTAGTTACTAGCTATGCAATCTTGTACAAGTTATTTATACTCTCCAAAGCCCATTGTCTTCATCTGTAAAAGGGCTTAATAATACTTAACCCCTATGGTGTTGTTAAGGTTGAGAAAGAAGTGTTTAGCAGTGGTTCAACATGCCCTCACTACTGCAATAGCCATAGCAGTAATAATATTAAATTAATAGGCAGAACTCTTTTAAACAGTTTTATTGAGATAAGAATCACATGGTTTTAAGCATATTCAGAGTTCTACAACCATCACTATAATTCTAGGACATTTTTATCACCCCCAAAAGATCCTTTACCCATTAACAGTCACTCCTCATTTCTCCCTAACCTCTCCCAGCCCTAGGCAACCACTAAGTTGCTTTCTGTCTCTATAGATTTGCCTATTCTGGGCATTTCATATAAATAGAATCATATCATATGTGGTCTTTTGTGAATGGCTTTCTTTCACTTAGTTTAACATTTTCGAGGTTCATGTTATAGCATGTATCAGTAGTCCATTCTTTCTTATGGCTGAAAAATATTCTGTTGTACGGATATGCCACATTTGATTTATTCTTTCATCAGTTGATAGACATTTGGGTTGTTTCCACTTTTTGCCTATTATGAATAATGTTGGTATGAACATACATGTCTATGTCTAAACTTTATTGGACCTACCAACCTGTTTTTCCAAAGTGACTGCACCATTTTACATTCCTACTAGGAGTTTATGAGGGTTCTGTCTTCTCCACATTGTCACCAATACTTGTTATTATCTGTATATTTGGTTATACCTATCCTGGTGGATGTGAAGTGGTATTTCATTGTGGTTTTGATTGCATTTTCCTGGTGGGTAATGATGTTGAGCATTCTTTGGTGTGTCCTTTTGGCCATTAGTTTATCTTCTTTGGAGAGTTGTCAATTTAAGTTTTTTTTTTTTTTTTCAAGATGTGATTTAAAAGTTTTTAATACATTAGTTATATAAAGGTACAGTCTTTCCCTTCCTATTTAAAAAGTATTTAAATAGGAAAATAGTATTTCCTTGAAAAATTGTACTTTTTTCCTAAGTATCTTGTGTTCCTTTTTTAAAAATTATTTTTTTCGTCATGATGAGTGTATTCTTTAATACCCATCACCTATTTTACCCATCCCCCCACCCACTTCCCCTCTCATAACTATTAGTTTTGTATAGTGAAGAGTCTGTTTCTTGGTTTGTCTCTCTCTCTCCTTTTTGTTTTGTTTCTTAAATTCCACATATAAGTGAGATCATAAGTTATTTGTCTTTCTCTGACTTATTTAGTTTAGCAATATACTCCCTAGCTCTATCCATGTTGTTGAAAATGGCAAGTTTTCACCATTTTATGGCTGAATAATAGTCCATTGTGTATGTGTATGTATTGTGTGTGTGTGTGTGTGTGTGTGTGTATACACCTCTTCTTTATCCATTCAGCTGTCAGTGGACACTTGGACTGTTTCCATAGATTTGCTATTGTAAATAATACTACAATAAACATAGGGGTGTGTGTATCCCTTTGAATTAGTGTTTTTGTACTTTTTGGGTAAATACCCAGTAGTGTGATTCTTGGATCATAGAGTGGTTCCATTTTTAGTTTTTTTTTGAGGAACCTCCATACTGTTTTCCATAGTAGCTACATTCCCACTAACAGTGCAGGAGGGTTCCTTTTTCCGCATATCCTCACCAACACTTGTTTCTTGTGTTTTTGATTTCAGCCATTCTGACAGGGGTCAGGTGGTATCTCACTGTAGTTTTGATTTGCATTTCCCTGATGATGAGTGATGTTGAACATCTTTTCATGTGTCTGTTGGCTCTCTGTCTTCTTTGGAGAAATGTCTCTTTGTGTCTTCTGCCCATTTTTTAATTGGATTATTTGTTTTTTGTTATTGAATTGTATAAATTCTTTATATATTTTGGATACTAACCCTTTATTGGTATGTCATTTGCAAATTTATGTTGAGGTATGTTCCCTCTAGACCTACTTTGCAGATGGTTTTTCTCATGAATGGATGTTGTACTTTGTAGAATGCTATTTCTGCATCTATTGAAATGATCCTGTGGTTTTTGTCCTTTCTCTTACTGATGTGATGTATCATTTTGATTGTTTTGCAAATAATTGAACTACCCTGGCAACCCAGGAATAGATCCCACTTGATTGTGGTGTATGATTTTCTTAATGTATTGTTGGATTTGCTTTGCTAATATTTTGTTGAGGGTTTTTGCATCTATATTCATGAGAAATATTGGCCTGTAATTCTCTTTTTTGGTGGTTTTTATCTTGTTTTGGTATCAGGATAATGCTGGTCTCATAGAATGAATTTGGAAGTTTTCCTTCCCCTTCTATTTTTTTGGAATAGTTTGAGAAGAATAGGTATTAACTCTTCTTTAAATGTTTGGTAGAATTCGCTTGTGAAGCCATCTGGTCCTGGACTTTTGTTTTTGGGAGTTTTTTGATTAGTGATTCAATTTCATGTGGTAATTGTGTTCAAAATTTCTATTTCTTCCTGCTTTAGTTTTGGTAGGTTATACGTTTCTAGGAATTTATTCATTTCCACTAAGTTGTGCAGTTTGTTGGCATATAGGTTTTCATAATATTCTGTAAAAATTGTATTTCTGTGGTGTTATTTCTCCTCTTTCTTTAGTGATTTTGTTTATTTGTTGATGAGTCTGGCTAGAGGTTTATCAATTTTGTTGGTCTTTTCGAAGAACCAGCTTCTGGTTTCATTGATCTGTTCTATTATTTTTTTTTAGTTTCTATATCATTTATTTCTGTTCTAATCTTTATTATTTCCTTCCTTTTGCTGGGTTTGAGTTTTGTCTTCTTTTTCTAGCTCCTTAATCGTTTGTTATTTTTAAATTGGGTTATTTGCCTTTTTATTACTGAGTAGTAAGAGAGTACATGGAACTTTTAAAAATTCCACATAATATCCTTGTAAGGCTTATTTATTGTGCTTCATCGTTAATTTCCTGAATGGTTTAATTCCTTGGGAAAAAAGGTAGTTTTTTAAGAAAATCTCTTGGAAACAGTATATAATAATGTTTTCTTTATTTTAAATCATTACATCTTTTTGTGTGTGTTTGTTTATAATTTGTGCTTGTTTGTTTTAAAACTATTTTGGAATAATTTTTGATTTATGAAAAGGTTGCAAAGGCAATATAGAGTTTCTGTATACCCCTCATTTCCCCTCTAATGTTAACATCTTATATAACCATGGTACATTTGTCAAGACTAAGAGGTTAATGCTGGTATATTACTGTTAACTCCAGACTTTATTTAGATATTAGTTTTTCTTTTCTTTTTCTTTTTAATTTATTTATTTTTTACAATTTTTGTTTTTAATTAGGCTCCATGCCCAATGTGGGGCTTGAACTCACAACCCTGGGATCAAGAGTTGCATGCTCTACTGACTGAGCCAGCCAGGCACCCCTGATACTAGTTTTCTCCTAAAGTTCTTTTCCCTTCTAGAATCTTATCCAGGATACCTTGTTGCTTTTAGCATTATATTGTTTTTAATGATAGTTTTTTCCCCATTTATACATGTAACTCACATAAAACTTAGACAGTTTTTATTTTATAATTTTCTCTGATTATAACTTTAGTATTTATTTATTATCCGACACTTACCTGTACTTTAATTTTTCATACACTCATAAGTGATATTTAGAAGTAGAGTTGTGGAGAACCTGGGTGCCTCAGTCGGTTAAGCATCCAATTCTTGATTTTGGCTCGGGTTGTGATCTCAGGGTTCTGGGATCAAGCCCTCCGTTGGGCTCCGAGCTGGGTGTGGAGCCTACTTGGGATTCTCTCTCTCCCTCTCCTGCTGCCCCTCCCCCCCTAAAAAAAAAAGAAGTAGAGTTGTGAGTAAAATTACCCCATATCTATGATTTTCATTATGGAAACAAGATCAGATTTTTCAGATTTCAAGAGAATACTTAATACTGTTATAAAAAGTGATTTGTCACTTTCTATTTGTGTTTTTCAGCAAAAGAAGCATTTGAGAAGAAGGTGTCTCCTATAATAATAGACAATACAAACCTACAGGCATGGGAAATGAAGCCATATATTTCTTTGGTTTGTACTATAAATTGTCATAAGTCTATAGTAGTAAGTTTGAAATTGTTGGTGGATGTTAATTACACAACTGAATCTCAAGCAAACAGTCCAGAGACTGTCTGTAACTGAGCTTTTCTCTGGTTGTAAGCGAAATGAGAAAAATAGGAATAGTTTTTGCATAAAGCTAAATTTAATCAGTTTTCAAATTCTTAGTTTTTAAATCCTGTGATTATTTCATTTTTGATGTCTTTTATAAAAAGTAGTGGTATTGTTATAATTTTATGTTTGTGTGTATATAGATAATAAATTATAATTTTATGTTTACATGGGTATATATATATGTGTGTGCGTGTGTGTGTATTAATGTGTATACATACAAAATATTTTTCCTTACTGCTTTTACTTGGTGGAATCAAAATTGGTGGTCCTTTGTTACTGATCAAATTTCTTTTGATTTTGCTCTTCTGATAAATTCAGACTTTTATAAATTCAACTCTTTTCAGTTCTCCAAATTTGCCAGATTCTTTTCTTTTTTTTTTGCCTAGCTTTGATGTCACCTTTTTCAGGAAGTTAGCATTAACTTACTAAAAAGCTGAGTGGAGGGGCGCCTGGGTGGCTCAGTCATTAAGCGTCTGCCTTTGGCTCAGGTCATGATCCCAGGGTCCTGGGATTGAGCCCCACATCGGGCTCCAAGCGCTGTGGGAAGCCTGCTTCTCCCTCTCCCTCTGCCCCTGCTTGTGTTCCGTCTCTCGTTGTGTGTGTGTCTCTCTCTCTGTCAAATGAAAAAAAAAAAAAAACCTTAAAAAAAAAAAGAACTTTAAAAAAAAAAAAAGCTGAGTGGAGTACTCTTTATGTTTTCATGGTACCCTGGCTTGCTTCTGTGATACCATTAAGCACGCTGCTTTTATCAGTAGGCCATGGGTTGGCTAGCTTTTTTCTATAAAGTGCCAGGTAGTAAATATTTTAGGTTTTGGGGGGCCACATACAGTCTCTGTTGTTTTATCTTTTTTTTTTTCTTTTCTTTTTAAATGACCCTTTAAAAGATATAAAAACTATCCTTAGTTCCTAGGCTGTACAAATACTGGCTGATGGTCTAAATTTGGCTATAAGCGATCTATATATTCTTGAGGATAGGTTGTTGTTTTATTCATCATTGAATCTTCAGGGTGGCATATAGTAAAGATATATTTGTTAGGTTAAAATGGTGAATGAATGAAGCTTTTGTGATTATTGGGTATTGTTTATTCCCCCACTGTTAGCACACACATGTCTGGCACGTTAAAGCTCAATTTATGTTTCTTCAGTTAATGAATGTTGTACTTCTTGAATGTCCTCAGCATATCCAGCCTGTACCTCCTTTGCTATGTGTTGTGCACTTGTACTATTTTGAAGGTGTGACTCTTCATTTTTCTGAAGAAAATTAATGTCCTTTAAGAGCAAATGAGATTTTACTTCTGTGCGGGTGCAGTAAAGGGAACAAAGACTCAATTTTAGTATATTGGGAACTGAAATTCAGTTTGCTTTCTGGCCTCAAGAGTTACTAATTTCTAGCCTAATGTATTTGTCATGGGGAATGCTTTCCCACTTAACTTACTTGACTTCTCTGTATGTTTTCTTTAGCTTCCTATTGTCATATTAAGAAATTCTTTAACACTCATTTTCCTATGGAGAAAATAAAAAAGCCTCTGCATTACTGTGTTACTGATTTTCATTTAGACTTCAGGCTTCCATAGTATTTTTCTTTCCTTTTTTTTCTTACATAATAATTGAAATTATAAAGCTGTTTTCCCAGTATTGATTCCTTGGCTCTTCCCAACTCTACTTAGAAGTATAAAGGACTGCTGCTTATCATAGGTTGCCAGATTCACTTTTTCTTCAAAAACGAGTAGATACAGCAATTACTGTAGAGAAGAGGATCACTTTTTGCTCCTTTTGGTAGCAAGATAACGAGAGCTGTGGGGGAGTAGAATAGGTTGGAGATAACAATCTATTACTATTGTGACTGTCATTTACAGAAGTAGTTAAGTAGTGAGTTGGGGATAAGTAGCAAGCAGTCAGGTATGCTTAGTGGCATCTGGCAAAACTTATTACTTTAAATATATATATAGTTTCCCTTGTGAGTTATCATATAGCTTAACATAAATAAGAATCCTCCCAAGTAATATAACATTATTAAGATTTGCCTATTGATATGGGAGTTGAAAAAGTCTTTAAATTCATAGTCTCTTTTTTTCCCTCTGTGTGTGTATATTCATTTAAAGTTAATTTGATCCTAAGAGCTATAGGACAGTCCCTTTAGGTAATTAGAGACCACAGCTGTTGCCAGCCCCTGAATAAAGTATATAAAATTTGGTACTGAGGTGAGGAGATGGAAGTGAGTAGACTCATTACAGGGTGTTCTGTCACTTCTTACCTAGGTTGATTTTGGGACTTTTCTGTCAGAATGACAGAAAATATCAGTGAGTACTTTGTTTGCATCTTGTCATAAAACTGAGGGGATCAGGGCACCTGGGTGGCTCAGATGGTTAAGCGTCTGCCTTCGGCTCAGGTCATGATCCCAGGGTCCTGGGATCGAGTCCCACATCGGGCTCCCCGCTCAGCGGGGAGCCTGCTTCTCCCTCTGACCCTCTCCCCTCTCATGCTGTTTCTCTCTCGCTCACTCTCTAAAAAATAAATAAAATCTTAAAAAAAAAGAACTGTTTAAAAAAAAAAAAAACTGAGGGGATCAGTAGTGAGAGATGAGGTCAGAGATGTAATGGTGGTTGGGGAGATGGTAGGGCAGATTATATAAGGGCTCATAGATCACTGTAAGAATTTCAGATTTTACCTTGAGTGACATGGAAGATGTATTAATCTGCTCAGGCTGCCATAAGATACCACAGACTGGATGTCTTAAACAAGTTTATTTTCTCACAGTTCTGGAGGCTTGGAGTCCCAGGTCAAGGTCTGGCAGGGTTGGTTTCTGGATGAGAGTTGTTTTTCCTGGCTTGCAGGTGGCTGCCTTCTTGCCATGTTCTCTTATGGTATATAAGGAGTTCTCTGGTGTCTCTTCTTATTTGCATACTAATTCTGTCAGATTGGAGCCTTACCCTTATGTTCTCATTTAACCTTAATTACCTCCATAAAGGCCTTATCTCTAAACACAGTCATATGGTGGGAGTGGGATTTCAACATAATGGGGTTTGAAGGGACATAGACCTTCAGTCCGTAACAGGGTTTTGAGCAGAGTAGTGACATGATCCGACTGTTGACGGGATTGCTGTAGCACAATGTTGAGAATAGACTTGGGGTAAGGGCAGGGGCTGGGGTGGCAAGTGTGGAAGCAGGGAGATTAGAGGACTATAGTGGTAATTAAAGGAAGAGATCATATGCCTTAGACCAACATGGTGGCAGTGAAGGTCACAGTGAGTACTGATTAGATTCTGGATATATTTTGAAAGTAGAGCCAACTGAATTTCTTATTGGATTGATAATGGATGTGAAAGAAAGAGGAGTTCAGTGTGACATCAAGGTTGGTTTTTGGCCTATGTAATTAGAGGTTGTCAGGAGCTGAGAATGATGGATAAGGGTTCAGATAAAATAGTTTTGTGGTGGGTGTCGGGTAATGGATTTCAAAAGTTTAGGTTTGAATATGTTAAGTTTGTTGAATAGGTAGTTGGATCTATGAGTTTGGAGTTCAGGAATGAATTCTGAGCTAAAGATATGTATCTGAGAGTCATTACCGTATGGTAATGGTGATACTCAAAGCCAAGGAATGGAATGATATCACCGAAGAAGTGAGTATGATCAAGAGTAGAGGACCAAGCGCTGTGAATTGTGTAAGACTGTTAAATCACAGACCTGTACCTCTGAAACAAATAATACATTTTATGTTAAAAAAAAAAAAGAAGAAGATAGCAGGAGGTGAAGAATGAAGGGGGGGAATCGGTGGGGGAGACGAACCATGAGAGACTATGGACTCTGAAAAACAAACTGAGGGTTCTAGAGGGGAGGGGGGTGGGAGGATGGGTTAGCCTGGTGATGGGTATTAAAGAGGGCACGTTCTGCATGGAGCACTGGGTGTTATACACAAACAATGAATCATGGAACACTACACCAAAAACTTATGATGTAATGTATGGTGATTAACATATAACATTAAAAAAAAAAAAAAAAGAGTAGAGGACCAAGGACTAAGTGCAGGTCTAAGTGGGAAGAGGTCTGGGCAAAAAAGGACTAGCAAAAAGGAGTGAGAACACTCTTCCAGTGGGGCAGGAGGAAAACCAAGAGGGTAGAAAGAAAGTGTTAGGAGAGGGAGTGATGAACTATGACAAATGCTGCTGAGAGTCAAGGAAGAGAGGACTGAAAATTAGCTATAGCATTTTTCACTGTAAGACCTGTATTACAGGTCTTACAGTGAAAAGAAGTATAAAGGACTACTGCTTATCATAGGTTGCCAAATTCACTTTTTCTTCAAAAAGTGAAGAAAATGGGGAGATCGCTAGCATCTTTTTTACACAAGTGAAAATTATGTATCTTACTTTCCTTACAGTTTGTATTGGGACCTTTTCTCATGAACACATGCAGCATTTTTAAAATTGCTGTATTTGCATTGTATGGCTGTACCTTCATTTATTTAGCCAGTTGCATATTAATAGTCACTGTGTTGTCTTCTTTTGTTATTACAAATAATGGTGAACTGGATAACTTGTGTGTGTATGTGTGTGTTTGCAGTCTTATGTAATTATTTATTAGTAGCATAACTTTCTGGAAATGAATTGCTGGGTCAAAGAGATTGTACCTTTTGCCAGTTTAACAAACTCATCACAATTAGATAATCTTTTAGGTTTAAAATTTTAACATGCTATGAATTTGGAAACAATGCATTTAATTTCATGGAAGTAGTATTTTAAAATACATTTGTCTTTTTTGTATGTAGTCTCAAAATCATAAATATAAAGTCCTTTTCCGGGAACCGGACACATGGTGGAAGTTCAAACCAAAGGAACTTGCAAGGTAAAATTGAGAGACTATTTAACATGTTTTTAATTTATGGCAGTGATAGAAAGTCCATCTAGATTTTTTTTCTCCCTACAAATAATGAATGAAACAAAATGGATTAGGTTGCAGCTTTGATAACAAATTTTGTATTTCCTGTAGACCTTTTTTCAGTTTATGAGGAGTTTGTATCTTTTTATTCCTAATACTGAGTTAATTAACAGAAATATTCCAGTTGTCTTATATAGTCAGTACTTTATTACTTATTAGCAGTATAATGTCAATATCTGAAATTAGAACAGATCCTGGGGTTTGGTGTACCTGAACCATGTGCTAGTAGCCAATCATTGGAGGAACCAATCATTGTAGCTGCCTAATGACTAAGAATACTGAAAGGAAGTGAAGGAAGTATGGGTAGAAAAGGTAGCAAATGTCTAGCTATGCAGTTTTTGCACTACCCTCCCCTCTCCCTGCCCTTCTCCCAAAGGTTTTACTTTTTTACTTGATTGTTTGACTTCAATTAAAATGTTACTTAGGACATGGACACATAATGTATTTTGCTTTGTGTTCTGTATTCCCTTAGAGATAACCCTAACTTGATTTTGGTCAGGGTATTTTCTTCTTGGTCATTTTAACTAATTTCTATACTAACTGAGGGACAACCTAGTCTTAGTATATTCATAATGTTGTGCAACCATCACCACTATCTAATTAGTGCACACTTCCATCTCCTCAAAAGAAACCCCGTACCTGCTATTGGCCACTCCCAATTCTCCCTTTCCTTTGGCAACTGCTAATTTGCTTTTCTGTCTCTATGAATTTGCCTATTCTAGTCATTGCATATAAATGGAATCATACAATTTGTGGCCCTTTGTGTCTGGCACCTTTCACTTAGCATCATGTTTCAAGGTTCATCCATGTTGTAGCATGTATCAGTACTTCATTCCTTTTTATATGTTTTTGGTACATTATAGATTTGGTTTTCTAATATTTTGCTTAGGATTTTTGCATCTGTATAAATGAGAGAGGTTGATCAATAATTTTTTCTTCCTTGCCCTTTCTTGCCTGGCTTTGGTATCGTGATTTTAGGTTGATAAAATTAATTGGAAAATATTTCTTCTTTTTCTCTTTTCTGAGTTTATGTAAGTTTGAGTGTTTGATAGAATTTACTTATGAAACTTGTGGACCTGGTGTTTTCTTTGTGAGAAGTTTCAGTTAGAATTTGTCCATTACACCAAAGTTTCCAAATTTATTAAGACTTTATTAAGACAATTATAGTATTCTCTTATCATTTACATCTGTGTTGCATCCATACTTAAGTTCCCCTTTTCAATCTGGATATGTTTATATGTATCTTCCTTCTTTTTTTCTTATTCTCACCAGAGATCAGATTTTTTTATTAGCCTTTTCAAATAAACATCTCTTTGCTCACCTGATCTTTCTATTTTAAGTTTGTTTTACGTTCATTTCTGCTTCTCTTTTATTCTACTTTCTCTGCTTTTTAAAAAATCTATTTTGCTTTGTTTATTCTGTTATTTTTATAAGGTTTCACCTGAAGGTTCAGGTTATTTTCTTATATGAGCATTTGATGCTATAAATTTCCTTAGGAAATTAGATGCTCCTAGAATTTTAATATATAATATTAATATATAATGCTTTCTTTTTATCATTTATCCTCTAATTTGTATTATGATTAATTTTACTTTTTAACCCTTGGGTTATTTAAAACCATGTTTTTAAGTTTGTGAACAGATGGTTTTTAAATTTCTTTTTTAAGAAATTCATTTTCAACTTAACTGTAGTAGATAAGATTGTGCCATTTGTGTGATACTAATTCTCTGATATTTTAAAAGATGCGTTTTTATGGCCTAGTTCATTGTTTTTTATAAATGTTTCATGTTTGCTTGATAAAAATGTATACTGGTTATAGTATGTTAATATATTATTAAGTCATGCTTATTCTGTTACATCTTCTGTAGCTTTACTTTTTAAAAAAATGCTTGATGGATTAATGTTTTAAGAGAGGAATGAGGAAATCTATATGAGAAGGATGTGTTGAAATCTCCCTTTATTATGTTGAATATGTCCAAGTTTCTTCTTATAAATCTGCCTATTTTCACTTTATGAATTCTGAGGATATATTTTGATGTGCTTTTATAGCTTAAAGTTTTTTTATCTGTCTGATTTAACCTTTTATCCTTGTCAAGTGATTTTCTTTTATCCTTAATTTTAATTTTTGTTATAAAGTCTCATTTGTCTAATATTAATAGAACTACACCAACTTCCTTTTAGGATTTGAGTGTTATTTCTTTTTCCATATTTTTACTTTTGACTTTCCTTTGTCTTTACATTTAGATGTATCTCTTATAACCAGTATGACTGGGTTTTGAAAAATCCTCTCTGTCCATCTTTGGCTTTTCATTCTTAAGCTTAATTCTTTTATGGTTATTTTGGTTATTCATGTAATTAGCCTTGTTTCTTACTGTCTTCCCTCTGTGCACTGTCTCTTTATTTCACCTTTCCTGCGATTGCTTTTCTCTTATCACAGAAAATTATATATTTGATTTTTCCCCCCTTTTCATCATGCCTTATTTTGGATTTTTTTCACTGAATGCAGATTTTCTTATTTACTTTTTCCTTCTCTTTTAATTTGGAAATGATATACACTATTTTTATCCTTTTAGTGGTTACATTAAAACTTTGATCATGCAAACTTTAAATTTAAAGTCAAACCATTTTGTTAGCCTTCCTTCTCGCAAATATAAGGACTTTAAAACATTTTAACTCTGATATTTATCTCCCTTCTGACTTACATGCTATGATTGTCCAGAATGTACAGACACTGTGTGTTTTCACTCATACAGTTATTGTTGTGCTTAATTTTTCTTTCATCGTAGATATTTCATCTGGGAATTTCCTTCTGTCTGACATTCATCTTTTAGGATTTTCTTTACAGTGTAGTTCTGCTTCATGTCAAACTCTTTTTTTTTTTTTTTTTAAATCTGAAAATTCTTTTATTGCCTTCATTCTTGTAAGATACTTTCACTGGGTATATATATTCTAGATTGACAGTTTCTGTTATTGAAGATAACATTTAATTATTTTTTGACTTCCATTGTTAAGGCAGCTGTAATTCTAATACTTGGTTTCTTTATAGATAATTAGTTTTTTTTCCTTTAGTTTCTGGCTGCTTTTAATATCATCTCTTTATCTTTGGTGAATGACAATTTCAGTACCATGTTTCTAGTGGATTTCTTAATATGTATCTTGTTTGGGATTTGTTGGGCTTCTTGGATTAGGGGACATCAATGATGTCTTTGATCAGTTCTGGAAAATCCTTAGCCATTTTTCTTTAAATTGCTTCTGTCCCATGTACTCTCTTTCTGGGACTTGGATTACATGTATACTACCTTTTTGCTCTGTCCTCTATGTCTGTGTCTCTTAACTTCTCTTTCATATTTTCTATCTCTTTGCTTCTCTGTGATCTGAAACCAGACAAGATTGAGGTAGGTAAATATGAAAGCCAGATTTGCCCAGGTGGCAAATACTGATATTAGCCCTGGGATCCAGACACTAAGCCTTGGATCCTTGCCCAAGATAGGAATGTTGCAAACTAGAGGTTTTCATTATGACAAGATCCTTGAGGGACGAAAGCATATCATCTGGCCTCCTGGCAGATGCAAATCCAGATGTTGTATGAAGGAAAGCACCCCAGGTTAAGGCCTAAGGATTCTCATATATTAGGTTCAACTAACTATGAGTTCATAAAAACACACAAATAAGCTACCATGAGTGAAAGCACAAATATGACAAATTTCATATTTGGACATCCAGAGACTGGACATACCAGGAATTTTTTTTCTTTGCTTGAATTTAAAATGTATTAAAATATATGTTTGCTTTAATTGACTTGGGATCTAGTTTTATTGTAACAGGAGAGCCCTTTGGACATCTAATCTGCCATAGTGGCATAAGTAGAAGATTGTAGTGGAATTTTTTTACTTACTAGTTAATAGTCTTGAAGTAATGGTCATTTTCTTATGAAATGTTTTTTTGCAGAGCTTGAGAATAGCTTCTTTTAAAGTTATTAGGATCTGCTGGTTTTTTCTGAGTTGATAAATGATATTTGGAAAAGATTGTATGGAATGATTATAAAAATGGTAATTTAAGACATCCTGAATAAGATGAAATTAGAATCTAACAGTATATATTGTGTCATAATAAACCAGCTTAGATATTTTTACTTATTAGAAATAATATTATTTCCTTGACATTTTATGTTTCAATTAAAAAAAAAACTTAATTACCAATATTCCTTCTACCCTTTTCTCCCCTGGAATCTTTAGGCGTAATATACATGGGGTAAGCAAAGAAAAAATAACAAGAATGTTGGAACATTATCAGCGTTTTGTTTCAGTGCCAATAATCATGAGTTCTTCAGTTCCAGAGAAAAGTGAACGTATTGAGTTGTGTGTCTATTCTTGTGAGGACACCAGTACTAGGTAGGTTAAAGTCCCTGAATACACAAATTCAATTTGAAATATAATTTAAAAAGAATAATTTTGGAGCTTGTGAAATCACTACCAAATAACTTTAAAAATAAAAGTAGATGTTTATTATTTGTAGGGTTTAGATATAGTCTTACCTGAAGCAAGATGTATATGGTTAGCAAGAGAAGTGAAGTTATATATGCAATGGCATGGGAGTTTTTTCATTGTCCTCAGGGTTTTGTGGCTCCATGTTTATACTGTGAATACTCCTGCCTTTTTTATGTAACTGCCTGCTATTCCAGTATTTATTTATCTGTTATTGCCTGTCATTATTTTGCATCACTTCTTAATTTCTTTAGGTATTTGTAAAAATACTCTTTCAAGTTAGTATTATAAAAATTAATTATTAATGGTATACCTTGACTGAGTAATACAAGTCATAGCCTTTTGAGAGTTTGTAGTCCAGCATAGTACTGATTCTATTAAACATTTAGGACATAGAAACAGTTGAATAGATGGGTGAGTTAAAGAATAACCTTAAATATAGATAGAGGTCTAAATTGCCCACACTTTCTGATGATAAGGAATGGTGAGGCTCTATTAAAAAGGGGTTGGGAAGAGAAAATTCATAAATGCTCTTTTATTGAGGAGTCATGTTGCAAAGTGGTTTAGAGCATGGGCCCCCGAGCTGTGTTTCCTAGCTTGAAATCCCAAGGCTTTGTAATCTTTGACAAATTATAGAATCTCTCTATACTTCAGCTCTTCATTTCTAAAATGGCAGTAATAACACTTTGCTCAAAAGATCTCAGCAACGTAATAGTTATCAAACTTTTTAATCTTTGCTATTTTGATTTATAAAAAATGGTTCCTCCTATTAAAAGTTGAGCATATTTTTATATTAAAAAAAAAGAAAACTCAGTGTTAGATGTGATTTCATTTAGGAAGGCTTTATGGGAGAGTTGGGACTTTGAGAGCTCCTGGAATAAAGGAAGAAAGGAAGGGGCACCTGGGTGGCTCAGTTGGTTAATCATCCGATTCTTCATTTCCACTCAGGTCCTGATCCCAGGTTGTGAGATGGAGCCTCAGGCTCTGCGCTCAGCTGGGAGTCTGCTTGAGGATTCCCTCTGTCCCTCTCCCTCTGCCCCTCCCTCCCCCTCTAAGAAGAAAGAAAGGAAGGAAGATGAGTAGATAAATTGACTAAGGAGAAAAACACTGAAGTTGAAAGTGTAATGATTAGGCAAAAGTGCTCTAAGTCTGAAATTAACATTGAGGATGATTTTAAGAAATTTAATAGGTGACATTTCAAATGACAGTTCTCCCTTTCATTTCTTTTAGTTGTGCAAATCATGTTGATTCTTTGTGACTTTGTAAATGAAGCTTAAGCCTAATCCTCGGTAGCAAATGACAGGTGTTATAGAAGCAGACCGCTTTTCAAATATATTAAGCTAAAATAGTTCTGAAAGAAGCCAGGGAGGTGGTGTCCTCTTCTGGGAACAAATTTAGAATCGTATCTTTAATATTTAATGCATATGAACACCTTAACTGAAAATCTCATGTTCACTATTTAATTCGAAAAAAATTTGAGTGCTTCCTATATGCCAAGCATTGTGTTAGGTATTGGGGTTACAATAAAGGGATGTATTCACAATGTACTAGAGAAAGATCAGGATGAGCTTTTATAATTTTAATGTAGTTTATTTATAGAAGTTTTAGAATAAATGTTAAGTGCCTTGTCTTTCAGTTGAATGCTGCTTTAATTTAAATCATAATGTTAATGGCAACATTAAGAGACTTCCTTATAATACTTTAAAAAAAATCTTACAGCCCAAGAGACAATGAAGATATTACCTCTGAAAAAGAAGAAAATGTTTTATCCTCATCTTTGAAGCATCTAGAGTTAACTGAAGAGAAGAAACTTGAAGTGACCAAAGAAACTATATTACCTGAGAATGTTACATATCTCTCTAATGCAGATTTAAATGAAGGAAGAAAAGAAATAAGTGCTATGAATCCTAACATTCAGAGTGCTTTCATTCAGGAAGTTTCAGACATGTATTTTTCTGATTCTGAAAGCAAAGTACAGGCAAAAGAAAAAGGTAAAAAAGAAGAGCAGGTAGAACTGGCTTCTGAAAAAGAGTATAGTAAAACTGATGCAGATAGTGTTGTTGAGAGAGTGTCGCCGAGTATTTGCTATGGTGAATATAATCAAGAAGACTATGATCTTTCAAATACTATACCATTTCATAATGAAAAATCTTCACCGGGTGAAACATTGGAAGAAAGAGCCACAGTAAGGAAAAAAACCTTTGGAAAACAAAAAAGCAAGTCAACTTTGGAAAAGTTCCCGACGAGACACGAGCTACCAAATTTTGTTGGTGACTGGCCAGTTGATAAGACTATTGGTCAGAGGACAAAAAGGAACCGAAAAACTGAAAAAGCTTCATCTGGTCAAAGTGACAAAAAATATAATCGCCTTCAGTCACGCAAAGGATTAGATAATACTCTATCTGCGAATATAGATCATATCCAGCAACGAGAATCTCCGCATGAAAGTACAGAGGATGACAAGAAGTCACAGTATGATGATGCTTCAGAATCTTTCAATAGCTGTCAATATGATACATATAAAAATACTGAAAAACAGTCATTCAGCATTGTGGGTGACTGGCCTTTGTCTGATTCCTTAGCTCAGAGAGAGCACAGATCAAGAATGCCGAAGGATGGTTTAAAGGAACCCAATCTAGAATTTGGAACTAAAGACAGTATGAATGAAATATCCTTCTACACAGCACATGAGACCTGTTGTTGGGGCACAAGCCCTGAAGAACTGAAAACCCTGGGTAGTTCCACTCTAGGAAATTCTGAAACGCTACCCAATGAAATGACCTGTGAGAATAAGACTTGTCCAAGTAAAAAGATTCATAGCCAGCACACATTGTCTCTTACTTTTACCAATAGTAGGCCAACTATTCCTGGAGTAGTAGGACCACAAACTTTAGCTGAATTTCCAGAAGGAAAATCTAAAAAAGTCCCTAGAATAGAAGAAGGCATGTGTACCCAGACTGAACCACAGGATTTTGCTCTCTTATGGAAAATAGAAAAGAATAAAATTAGTGTTTCAGATTCTGTGAGAGTACTAACAGGACAGTTAGATGGATTTAAACCAAAAGCTTTCAATATTAACACAGAATTAGATGTTCAAGAAACAATTCCATATAGGGTAATGTATGACAAAAGCACGTATGTTGAAGAAAGTGAGCTTACTAGTGCTGATGAATCTGAAAATCTTAACATTCTTTGTAAACTCTTTGGATCCTTTTCATTAGAAGCCCTAAAAGACTTATATGAGAGGTGTAACAAAGATATTATTTGGGCCACAAGCCTTTTGTTGGATTCTGAAACTAAATTATGCGAGGATACTGAATTTGAGAATATCCAAAAATCATATGATGAAGCACAAATTGGGCCATTTTCTCTGGGATTAAATTTGAAGGAAATTATTAGCCAAAGAGGAACCCTGGAGGATTCTAATTCTTCTGTGCCAGAATTTAGCCATGGCACTGCTGTCAGTAACACTAATGTACAGTCCACCTGTGATTCAGAAGAGAGAAACCCAGAGCAGGCAGAAATAAGAGCTATCACTACTGAAAAACCTGGATTAATAACGGGTTTATTTCCTAATGCCACTCTAGATCTAAAGAATACTAATGAAGTACTTCCCAGTAGCCAGGCAGAAGTTCCAGGTCTGTATAACATTAAGCAGTCTTTCCCAGGTACTCTAAAAGCTACTGTAGCTAAAGATGTGAATGAAATGGAGAAGAATCTAGAAGTCACAGAGATTGGAGACAGTATACGTTCTTCTTCGAATTTGTCTGATATTTTAAACTCTGTATCGAGCACTTCAAATCTTGAATTAAATGAAGAAGTTGATTTAACCGACTCTCTTGAAATAAAGAAAAATGAAAATCTTCCAAAGGATTATGTGAAATTTCCAAACACTGAAGAATTTATGAATGAAGATGAACAGGAAATGGAAAAAATTCTAATGGCTGAGGGTACTTTGTCAGCTGGAGTTAATGAAGAAGATAAAACTGAGATATTGAATCCCATGCCAGTGATGGCCAAATCTTTGACCATAGACTGTCTGGAATTGGCATTACCTCCTGAATTGGCTTTTCAGCTCAATGAATTATTTGGCCCTGTTGGTATTGATTCAGGTAAAGAAAAAATAGATTACGTGTATGTGTGTCTTTGTGTGAATAGAATACAGATTCAGGGTTCTATCTTAATTTTAAAATTATGTCATATGTTAACTGAAATGTAAAAGTAATTTATTTGTGTTGCCTACCTTATTTTTGACACATTCGTTTGTAGAGGATTTAAAAAAAATGTAATTTAAAGAAATAGTATTTATATGGAGTTTGCGTTCATTCCATGCGTATATTGAAAGTTTTCTGTGGTATTTACCTCATACTTATTTGCAGAGATGAACCTTTTTGAATCTGTAGTGCTACTCCAGATGTACCTAAGGCAAGATTAATTTAATAGAACACACTTCTTGAAAAGTCTTGACTAGTGGAAATGAATATATACATTTAAACTAATGGACATGAATAACTTAAATATGTGAAGCATTGTATAATTGCACCTGCCAAGAAGTGTGAAAACAGTGACATAGTACATAAACAAAAATATTGCAAGAGATTTAGAACTAAAAATATAGATTAGTAATTAATAATATAAATTAGTTTTATGATACATAAGGTGGTTGAGTATGTTTTCTGAAAATGTATGAGTAATGATTATATTTTCTTTTCTTTTTTCCCCCCTCAAAAGGGTCTCTAACAGTTGAGGATTGTGTTGTTCATATAGATCTGAATCTGGCTAAAGTGATTCATGAGAAATGGAAAGAATCTGTAATGGTTGGTAGGCTTTTTTTTTATGATGAGCTCCTTTTGTGTTCACCTTTGCTCTTAATAAAATCTGTTGTATGAAAGAATTCTGTTGAATTTTGACTTTGAGAGAGAATGAACTTTTTCCAATAAACAGATAAGTGATATTTTTTCTCTTTCCAGTGTTTTAGATTATTACCAGACTGGCCAAATTATATAACTGATGATGGAGCTCAATATGATTGTTGAATTTTTTTAAGAGAAAAATCATAAATAGTTTTTTATTCTCTAAAGACTTGCAGGGCTGGGCTCCTGGGTGGCTCAGTCATTAAGCGTCTGCCTTCGGCTCAGGTCATGATCCCAGGGTCCTGGGATCAAGCCCCGCATCGGGCTCCCTGCTCTGCGGGAAGCCTGCTTCTCTCTCTCCCACTCCCCTTGCTTGTGTTCCCTCTCTCGCTGTGTCTCTCTCTGTCAAATAAATAAATAAAATCTTAAAAAAAAAAAAAAAAAGACTTGCAGTGCTGACTGATTAAATTTCAAAAACAGTCTAAAAAAGAAAGCCTAAGAGCTCTGTAAGTGGAAAAATATATTGATATAGTCATACTTCATAATCGTATCTAATTTTGTTTTACTTAGATTTAGCAAGAATGATTGATAGTTTTACAAGAAGTGATTTCTAGAGAAAAATAATATAATCTTATTTTCTAATGCACCCTCCTTTGCCAATCCCCTGTCCTGCATTTGTGTTTAGGAGCGACAAAGACAAGAAGAGGTATCCTGTGGCAAGTTTATGCGAGGTAAAGCACATACTTTTTACTTCTGATGTTCCTGTCATGATGTCAAAACTTGGTGTATGTGTATGAATTTTAACTCATTATTAAATGTACTTCCACAAAATATGTTACCCAAGAATTTTGATTTGCAAATAAAAATTCTTTTAAAATATTTAACATTTAATATTGACATAAAATAAAACTAGAAGAACTAAAAAGCATCTATGATTAATTACTTTCATGAGTACAGTGGAACACCTTAGATGTGCTCTAATACATATAACAAGGTGTTTCCTGTTTAAGATTTTGCTCTGAATGAAAGAAAACTTCTGGTTTGAGAGCAATAAAATGTTCATGTGTCTGAGAGCATCATTCAACTGTTACTTGGTTATTTGAAATTTTTATTGATGTTAATTTTATTAGAGCACAAAAGTCGGCCTGCTTTTGGAACATCTGCCATTTGATTCTAGAAGACTTTTTGGGTAGCATTGGCCTCAGTGATTAGTGCAGGGTGGCAGAGCTGTTAACAGGAGCCTCCTATTGTGCACATTTCCTTCAGATGCCTCTTTTGTCCACTCCACACCAGGACTCCAGGTTGAAGGTTCTTTGGGTATGCTTTAGTTGCAGCTTCAAAGAACTAAAGCTATTTGAGAGCTAGAGGTACTGAAAGGGTATCAGAGTTATGGGGATGGCAGTATCTACTGTCTTCACTCTCCGGGAGAGCTAAGGAGTATATCAAAATGTGCTGATACCGAGATGCTGAAATACTATACATTAAGTCTCGTTACTGTGAACTTCTTAGAATGTTCAGTTTCTTCCTTATGTTGAATATCATTTGTTTAATATTTGTTGTGTGCCTCTATTGGGTTTATGGGTTTGCTAAGATATTGATCCTTTCAGTCCTTGGAGTGGCTGAGCAGAGCTGAGCAGAGCTGAGCAGAGCTGAGCAGAGCTGCTCTAGCTGGTTGCTTCCACCTGGCCAAAACTCCCTTTGTTTACCAGTGTATGTGTGCTGATTTTTCTGTGTCCGTGCGATGTAAAAAAGAGTGGGAACCATTGAGTTGATTTGCAATGATACCCAGATCCTTGCTCATTTGAGATATTCCTACATTTATACATATTCTTGCTTGCAATTATGTGAAGATATATTTTGAAACTTCAGAGTTATATTTATAAGCTAGAAATAAAAAATCATGTTTCTTTGGTCCTTCTGAGGTAGTTGTAACAGAATGAGTAATGCTTAATTTGTTTATTGTTGAGGGCCTGATACTATTTATACTGCTTTTGTAGATCCTTCCCTGGTTGGGCACATTGGTCTCGAGAATCCTGAACAAAAATCATCTCAGAGAACAGGCAAAAAATTACTGAAGACTTTAGCAGCACCTGAAATGCTACCCTTATTGGATCATTGGAACACTCAAACTAAAAAAGTATCACTCAGAGAAATAATGTCAGAAGAAATTGCCTTACAGGAAAAACACGCTTTGGTATGAGATGGTATAACTATTAAGCTTTTGCCTCTGACTCTAGGTTGATTGTATGTTTACTCTGTGATTTTCATTTGATTCTGAATTTCCTAGCCTGGAATCTGTATTTAACTGATTGAAATTAATGTTAAAATTGAAACTGTTTCGAAGTTTGAAGCTGGAATTTTTTGCTTCTGGGAGATTAGTTGATATTCTATAACAATAAGCCAGTCTGTGTTAAACCATTATTTTAGATTTAATTTTGCAGGTGATTGAGCTGCATTTTTTTTTTTTACTTTTAGCATTTATTTCTATAATTTTTTAATTCTTGAAAAACATGAAAGATTTTTCATTTAAAGATAATTTTGTTCATAAATTAGTAAAAAGAAATGTCTGTCTTGCTATTAAAGAAGTATCCAACCTCAAAACAGTTTTTTTTTAAAGTAGGCTCCATGTACAGCGTGGAACCCAGCGTGGGGCTTGAACTCATGGCCCTGAGATCAAGACCTGAGCTGAGAACCAAGAGTGGGACATTAACCAACTGAGCCACCCAGGCGCCCCAAAACAGAGTTTTTTAGAGAAAAATTTAGAAACTTAAAAAAATTAAGTACTCTTCTTTTTCTAACTTTTTAATCAAACATGTTCAAGTAGAAACTTTATTTTGAACTTTATTTTTGTTTCTTATTCACCATAATCAAATTTTATGAAGCCATAAGTGAATTTGGTTTCTTTTGCTTTCTTCTTAGCCTTTTTTTGAATTCTGAAAATTAGTATTAGAGAATTTCAGAAATCAAAAAGGGGAAGAACTTAGAGGTTATTTAGTCCAATTCTCAAAGAAAAGAAATAATTCTTAGATGGTGATCTTAAAACATTTTACTTTCTTACTCATTTGACTATGCAAAGGAGCACCTTTACATTTGGCTGAAATACATAGAATTGGGGCATAGGAAGAATGATGGAATTCCTCCACCTTCATATTTATTTTCCCCAGTTAACTTGTTAATTAATTGGAAACATGCTACCATTTTTGCATGTTTACATAACCTAAGGAACCAATCTCTTTGGTAGGGTCTTATAATGTAGTGTTGTTTCAAATATCCTCTTCATTTATATGTGTAATAAATTGGAGAAATGCATTTTCTTAAAAAAATAAGGAAATCTTAGAACTTATGCCCAAATGGTGTGACACCTTTTGTTGAACTGCCATTTTTTTTTTTTACTACTGAAACTTAACTTTGTGGTTCTAATCTGCCTTTTAATCTCTCAGTATAATAGTGAACAGAGGAGTATCTTTGATTTCCCAACTTAATGCATTTTTTTTTTCTATCAGTGATTTTTGCTTATCTTTCTGTGGGTTGGGTAATAGAAGCTGTACTTATTTTGTCCCAAGGATACTTCTTAGGTAGAACCTCAGTAAGAGAATTTCTTGATGCTTTCTTTTCACTCTCTGTCTCCAAAGGAGAAATACACTGCATTTTTTTAAGCAAAGTTATAAGATAAACATTAGGCATAATATATGAGTAGAATAACTCTAAGATGATTAAGGTCATGAGTTTTCAGTCATGAGACCTTAGAATTTGTAGTTTAGAAACTCTATGACCTGAATTTTTTAATAAGTTCAGATTATAATGTGTATCTTAAATAAAACATGAAATATTTTTAATTCTTGAGGTGGCTTGTTTCCATTACTCTTGTGATGTGTGATGTGTTTAGCTTTACCAGTCTCTTTTACTGGTCAGATTATCACCTATTGTGGACTCTCTCTTATTGTTTGGTGTTGTAAATGACCTAGATACTAGGTGACCTAGGCTTCAAAAGCAATAACTATTCTAGGGTTGTCCTAGATTATTGTAATTTTTATATTTTTGAGTCACCTTTGAAATTGTATAGGAAGTTATTTTTCAAACATCAGCAGCTTCATAGCAAACAAAAATATTATGTACTTACAGTGTCAACAAATTGTCTTAGAGTTAGAAATCAACTTTAAGAATGTTTACCATAATCCTAGGTTAGAATTTAAAAAGCACATTTTAGGAAAGTTCTTTAGTTTGGCAATTTCAACCGATCCCATTATGACTTACGAAAAAATAACAGTCAGTGGCAGTTCTCATACAGTTATTTTGGAGTAAATATGTTTGTGAAAATTTTTAAAATTGTGAATTTTAAGATTTTCTCATCAACCTGAATTTGCAACTCATTTGTACGTTGTAGTTTCTGCCCATTGAGGAGAATATGTTTATGAGGACGTTGTTCACAGCATCACCCAGTGTCCCTTTTCTGAGGACCCATGGGAGAAATTTCTCTCAGGGCTCAGTGCCAGAAAAAGCTGTACTTCTCCTGAGCAACTGGTTTGTTTTTATTTTATGGACACTGAGAATCTTTGTTTCCCCCTTTGCTTTGGCCACTAAGAAGCTCAGAACTGAATTTGTGGCCCACCTTTAGCAATTGTACAGGATTTTATGGCATGCATTTATACACTAATGTTACCTGCTAGCTTTATCCTATAGTCTTCCTTTTATTTTCTCTACTCTGACTTCTTCATTTATTTATATCCTGTTTATATATCTATATTTTCATCTTCTTTTTTTATATAATACGACTGAACGTGCTGGGTGTGTATATGTGAGAGTATGTATATATTTATATACACTTGCACACATTATGTATATACGTGTGATTGTGTATGTGTATAAATGAACAGCTTCAAATACTTTGCAAAAAATGGGATATAAATAAATAGTGCAAGAATACTTATATTACTAATTTCAGTCTTTAATCAGTGAAGAAAGTCTGTGATTGCTTTAAATGACTAATCTTTTTGCAACAAAATAACCATGCTTATGGATCAGCATAATTAGTTTTATAAATTCTGTCTGAAGGATGATTTTTGTCTCTTTTGTTTGTTTTAGAAAAGGGAGGCACTTATGTTTGAAAAAGATTGTGCCACTAAACTAAAGGAGAAGCAGCTCTTTAAGATATTTCCAGCCATTAACCAGAATTTTCTGATGGACATTTTCAAGGACCACAAGTAAGTGATAGGATTATCTGTAGGTTCTATTATGATGTCATTGAAAGTATATCATTTTAATTTTTCTGATAACAAATCATATAGGCATATTATAAACCATTTAAATGCAATGTACATAATATAGCAAGTGAGCAGGTTTTGGTAATTGGTTCATGGTCCACTAATGTGTATGTGCTTACATATATATCTGTTTGCTTTTGTGTCTACATATAAATACATATTTCACCAAAAATAGGTTGTTACATATACTGTTTTATAGTTTTGTTGATATTTATTTTTCTAGTACATTCTTAGTAATTTGCTTTTTTTAAGTCCATAGAGTATTTCATAGTAATCATAAAGTGTTTTTTTAAAGATTTGTATATTTATTTTCCATCCTATGGCCATTTTTATTATAAAAATCCAGATATAAAATGTATTCTTCCAATCTTTCCAACTTTTCTTTTTTACAAAAACAAAAAAGGCACGTAAAAAAAACCTTCCCTGTTGTCATTCCCATAGATGGATGTTTTCCCCCCAAAAGTACTATATAATTTGAACATGCTCCTCTTTATGGGCTTTTTGACTGCAAGAAAAATTGGAGACCATGTTGCCCACTAAGCATACATTTTTGCACACATGGATGAAGGCTATTGTACACTAGTTCCTAAAGTGAAATTGCTGGTTCAGAGTGCACATTGAAAATTTTTACAGCTAATATATATATACATATTAGCTATATAGAGAGAGGCTTTCTGTATTAGTTAAATGTACTGATAGTGTAACCCACCCTGGATATTAAGAATCTGTAAGATTTTTGCCATCCCAGTGGGTAAAATAGTTCATTATTGTTTAAATTTAAATTTTCTTTTTTTAAAATTAATTAATTAATTAATTATTGAGAGAGAGCAAGAGAGCGAGCACAAGCAGGGGGAGTGGCAGAGGGAGAAGCAGACTCCCCACTGAGCAGGGAGCCCGATTCGGGGCTCAATCTAGGACCCTGGGATCATGACCTGAGCTGCAGCAGATGCTTAATCGACTGAGCCACCCAGGTGCCCTAAATTTTAATTTTCTTGATTACTAGGAAGGTTGAGCCTTTTTCATTATTTTTCTACTAAATACTTTTTGCCTGTTTTCTGTTTGGTTCTTTGTATTTCTTTGGACATTTGTGAGAACTCACTATATATTATGTGTAGTTATCTTTGTTTCTATAGATTATTATTATTTTTCTACCCTGATACTTATCGCTTAACCTAGTATAGTCTCTTTGGGCATATACATGTTTTAATTCATGTTTTATCAGAAAATCATTTCCTTTATGGTTTCCAAGTTTAATGTCATTTTAGGAAGTCTGTCCTACCCCAATATTATAAAATTATTTTCTTCAGTATTTTTATTTTTTTATTTTATTTTTTGATTATTTATTTGAGACAGAGAAAGCGAAAGCGAGAGAGAGAAAGAGAACGAGTCGGGGGGAGGGGACAGAGGAAGAGGGAGAAGCAGACCGGCTGATGAGCAGGGAGCCTGACTTGGGTCTTGATCCTGAGACCCTGGGGTCATGACCTGAGCTGGAGGCAGATGCTTAACCGACTGAACCACCTAGACGTGCCTCATTTTCATTATTTTTAAAATAATCTCTAATGCAGATTGATTTTATTTACCCAAAAGTTTTTCATTTACCCCAAAATTTTTAATATGCTTTTTTTTTTTTTTGAAGAGTGTTTAATTTTCTAAATGGTTTGATGGTTTTGGTGGTAGGTGGATTGAGGACTATTGTTTATTTTATTTTGTTGTATTGAGGTATAAGAATGTGGCCCGAAGAGTTCTTTTTAGAATTTAAGATTTTCTTTATGGTTTATACCTGATCAGTTTTAACAGATATTACACTAACGTGCTTTTGAAAAAGAATATTCTCTGCTAAGTATGTAGAGTTCTAAACATGTCACTTAAATCAAGTTTTTAATGGTGTTATTCCAATAAACAATTTCCCTACTTATTTTTGCTATCTAACCGGCTGTTTTCTTAGAGTTACGTGTTAAAATCTCCCAAGGGGATGGGGATTAGGAGAGTGTCACTGACATATGGCGGCAACTCTCTTTTATGGGAACCTGGCACAAGATGGCCTGATGTGAAACAACCCAGAGTTGTGGTTCCCTGGGCAAGGTAAGGGGGACTGAGTGAGTCCTTCCTGGGGATGCCCAGAGTGACGGGGGTCAGTCAGGCCCTTCAGGGTAGGTGGTCAGTTGCCTCCATTTGTTTGTCGGCAGCTGGATAATTTTTTGTTAGCAGTAGCTTCACCTTCACCCTTCAGAAGGGTAGGTGGGTTCAGTTACTGATTTTATATATGCCTGTGGTATAATCTTCCAGGGCCATCCTCCCTTTAACACTACCAATGGTGGATACTGCCTTCCAGCCCCAAGAGTAAGCAAGCCTGTGATTTTTAGGGCTATTTAGGATGGTAATTGCTGTTAGCTTCCAATCCCTAGGAACCTCTCTTTGTTGATCATATCTGAGGTAGCAATATCAGAGGGCTAAAGTGGTAGTCCCCAAAATGGTTCTCCATCAAGGAGAAATTGAAAGAATACTACTAAATTGAAGAATAGCAAAATATCACAATACTTCGGATCACTGTTTATCACATTTCACAAATACTCCTTTGTGGTCAGCTCTTCATTATGTAGTCATTGGAAGAGATCAGAAGCATAAACAGCCTGAAATAATAGCAGTATAATATCATTTATAATTTGCTTTGGAATGAGTTTCTTTAGAAATTGGAACATGAGTGTTTTTTTAAGTCTTTGTCAATTTGTAGAATTTGATATTACATATATATAGAATCACCATGAAAATATGCCTGAATAATTAGGGGTGAGGGGTAAGATAGTGTTTTACTTTTTCCTTTCTGTATCCCAGCTTAGAATTTCTTTGACTAGAACCTTATGGTTTAAGTAAAAAGTGAAATTAAGTAAAAACTGACACAATAAAAATGTCAGTTTAAAGATATATTGTCTGTGTTTGATGTTTGAAGGAAACTGAAACCATGTGTGAACCAACAAGGGACCTAAGAAATATAGGTGTTGAGATGAAAGTAAGATTTGTTGTGGATAATCTACCTGGAATAAAAGATCAGAAAATGAATTCATTATCTATGTTACCCTTTGGTCTTCATTCACAAAAATTAGTTTTTGAGAGCTATTATTTAATAGTTTCCTTCTGGTCATTCTTGAGTCTTTGAGATGCATAATGAGCATATAATGTCAATGTTTAAAACTTAGAAGTAAGCCAGTGTTTGAAGGATTGCTTATGTTAGTGTTTTCGTATAACTTTTATTTTTTTAAGTAACATTATATCTGTAACTCTCTACAGCTATTCATTAGAACACACAGTTCAGTTTCTAAACTGTGTTCTTGAAGGAGATCCTGTAAAAACAGTTGTAGCACAAGAGTTTGTTCACCAAAATGAGAATGTCACTTCTCATGCTACACAGAAGTCTAGGGAGAAAAAGGTATGGAGTTATTTTTACTATAATGGTAAATACTTGTATATGAAAATGTAATTGGCTTGTTGGTATAATTTTATGATTATTTCTCACCATTTTAACTAGACTGGAAATTTAACCAACAGTAGTATATTTGATTTTAGGATATCTGTTTGCTCAAAATAATGAATTTATAGCTGATTATGTTTTTTTCTTCAATGTCATTGTGTATGGCAAGCACTTAAATTTTTGTAACTTTTTCTGTATAGGCTCTATACAGTAGAGCATGAGGTAATTGAATAGCAGTGCAGTGGTAATATGGTGGATTTTAGGTGTAAATATGTTAAATATGTGGGCGGAAATTTTTAACCATTTGAGAAACTGCGAAACTTTTTTCCAAAATGGCTGTACCATTTTATGTTCCCACCAGTAATGTATGAAGATTATAATTTATCCACATCGTCTCTGACACTTGTTAGTGTCTGTCATTTTGATTATAGCCATCCTAGTGGGTATGAAGTTGTCTTAAGGGTACCTGGGATTTGTTTTAATCAGGTATGGTAAGATACTGAGACATAGAAATGTTACGAAGGAAGAAATTTATTATACTCACAGATCTCTAGAAACGGGAGGCATGGCTTGCCACCCAGGGCCACATGGAGAAGCACTAGAGTCAGTCAGGAGACAGAGCAGAGGGGAAATGTGGGCAAGAGCGTTTTTTGTGGTTTCTGTGGAGAGGAATGGGTGAGGCAGTGCAACCAGGTTAAGGATTGGCTAGTTTGAACAGTTTCGGCAGGCTCTGGAGTATAGGAACTGTCCCTGGTTTTCTCATATCTGGTGTAGGTGATAGGCAATGTGGACGGTGGCCCTGAGGGTGAGAACCCCATAAAGGAAGTGGTTGAGAATATGGCCTCGAGATTGGTTACATATATAAGATATCCTAGCAGATGAGTTGTTTGCTCTCTCTAGGAATTAGACAACCCCAGGGTTGGGGATACTTTCTCTCTAGGGGTTAGCAAGGACCCAGATGTCAAAGCATCAGGAAACAGGAAATAAATGATTAATAAAGAAGTGATTATCTCACTGTCATTTTGATTTGCATCCCTGATGACTGGTGATGTTGAGCACTTTTTCATGTGCTTATTGGTCATTTGTATATCTTCTTTGAAGAAATGTCTATTTGTATCCTTTGCCCATTAAAAAGTGTTTTTTTATTTTTGTGGGTTTTTTTTTTTTGAAGATTTATTTATTTGAAAGAGAGTGTGCATGTATGTGAGCGGGAGCAAGGGGAGGGGCAGAGGGAAAGAATCTCAAGCAGACTCCCTGCTGAGTGTGGAGCCCTACATGGGGCTCCATCTCATGCCCCTGAGATCATGACCGGAGCCTAAATCAAGAGTTTGATGCTCAACTGACTGAGCCACCCAGGTGCCCCTTAAAAATGTTTATTCTTGAGTAATAGGAGTCCTTTTTATATTCTAGACAAGTCCCTTATCAGACATGTGATATGCAAAATTTTCTCCCATTCTGAGGGTTGTCTTTTTACTTTTTTGATGGTGTCTTTCATTTGAAGCACAAAGTTTTAATTTTGATGATGTACAATTTATCTTTTCTCTTTTGTTGCTTGTACTTTTGGTGTCCTGTTTAAGAAACCATTGCCTAATCCAAGGTCATGAAGTTTTTTTGTTTTTTATGTTCTATATTTTCTTATTTTTTTGGTTTTTTATGTTTTCTTCTAAAATTTTATGATTTTAGTGCTTACATTTAGATCTTTGATCCATTTTTAGTTAATTCGTGTATATGGTGTGAGATAGGGGTCCAGGTTCATTCTTTTTGCATGTTGATACCCAGTTGTCACAGATCCACTTATTGCAAAGACTGTTCTTGCCCCACTGAATTTTCTTAGCACCCTTATCAAAAATGAATTGACTCTTAAGTTTATTGCTAGACTGTCAGTTCTGTTCCATTGATCTGTATGCCTGTCATCATACCAGTTACACATTGCCTTGATTATTGTAGCTTCGTAGTAAGTTTTGAAATTGGGAAGTGTGAGTTTCCATCTGTATTCTTTTCTCAAGATTGTTTTGCTTCTTCTGGTCCCTTTGCAGTTGCATGTGAATTTGGGATCAGCTTGCCAATTTCTGTAGAGAAGCCAGCTGGATTTTTTTTTTTTTAAGTTTATTTATTTATTTTAGTAATCTGTACACCTAACATGGGACTTGAATTCACAACCACAACCCTAGGATGAAGAGTCGCATGCTCTTCTGACTGAGCCAGCCAGGTGCCTCAAATCCAGCTGGAATTTTTATGTGGAGTGTGTTGAGTCTGTAGATCAACTTGAGGTGTATTGCCATCTTAACAATATTGCCTTCCAGTTCATGAATTTCAATTTAGTTAGATCTTAATTTCTTCAACGTATGTTGTAGTTCTGAGTGTAAGTTATGCATGTCTTTTGTTAAGTTTATTTCTGAGTTACTTTATTCTTTTTAATGCTATTATAAATGAAATTGTTTTATTTTTGGATTGAACATTGCAAATGCATAGATATACAATTGATTTTGTATATCAATTTTGTATTAACTTTAGGCTTTTTTTTTTTACAGACCTTCATTATCCTGCTCTTCTTACTTATTAATTAAGACCACCAGGGATAACTTGTATGCTCCCTTTTTTCTTTGGATATTTCACCATCACTTTGTTCACATATAGGACTCAGTTAAATTTTGTATTCATGTGATCTGTTAGTGCCGTACATGCCTGTGTTCATCGTGGATAGATAGGTGTAGTATTTCATAAGATGTAGAGGGGATACAAGATGATGATGAGACCATCAAGGCCAACTTGGTAATGATTATTTCTTCTCTCTCCTGATAATAGAGCAAGGCACTGTAGGTCATTATGGTGATAGAGGAAGTAATGGGGAGAAAGTGTGCTTGCTCAAAATGGGAGATGATTGGAACATGCTCAAATAAGAAAAAAGAGTTTGTGAGTTATGTAAACATTGGCCAAATGTAGACTTTTAAGTTATTCTGGAAATTATTCTTAGCCTTTTCCACAAAATATAGGCAGGTATCCTAACATGGATAAAAATTATTTTAAGATTTGTGAACAGAATACTCTTTTTAAGATTTGTAAACAGAATACTCTGTTTTTGATATCCTAGGACCCTAAGGGACCACAGATATTAAAGGGGAGGGTATCATGGTACCAGTAATATTTTGATTTATCTATTTTCAAGAAGCATTTAAAACTGTGTTTTGTTAATACTACTATTTTTCCCTTTAGCCTTCAATAAAATTTACAAGTTTGTTACCATGGGAAATGGTTTTGGTATTATAGTACATCATACTTTCAAGAGAGTAAGTGGCACTGATTAGGTGAATTCTTAGGAAGCCTGTATTTCACTTGGCCTTTGTTAATGGGGTTATAGTAATAAACCACATCACTATGAAATGGATATAAAAATAAATCGTGGTTTCATTTTGAAAGAGTAGCTATTTGAGAAAGCATTTCTCATTATATACTGTTTTTTTTTTCTTTTTTAAGAATAAGAAATGAAAGGTCTCTTCCCAGAGAACCAAATGTGCTTTGCATTTTTTAGTATGAACACCAACAGAGACTGTAATGCTATGAAATATTTATGTTCATTCTGTTAAGCACTGTGGCTTTTCAAAAGTCATAGAAAGCATTTTTATTATCCCCTCCTTGCAAAATCTTTGATTTTTATCAGAGATGCAAACCATATACTCAGAATATTTAAACATTAATATGAAACAAGCGTGTGCTTAAGTACTGGTGAGAGTGACAGAAGGGTGTAGGTCCATGAATATTCTCATGTGAGAGAGAGCCTTGTATTCTTTCATAAAATAGGTTGGGTATTTGTTGTAAAAGTAAATCAACTGTATATATTTACAGATTTTTTTTAAGATTTATTTATTTGAGAGAGAGCATGAGTGGGTGGAGGGGCAGGGAGAAGCAGACTCCCTACTGAGTGCAGAGCCTGACGTGATGGGGCTCGATTCCAGGACCCTGAAATCATGACCTGAGCTGAAATCAGCCACTTAACTGACTGAGCCATCCAGGCGCCCCTATTTACAAATTTTTGACTTTGATAATGAGTTAGGAGTATGGAGATACCTTTATTTTATGCTTTAACTCATTTTAAACCTCTTGAATTCTAGGGGTTAAATAAATAAAATGTAATCAGTAAAAAGATTATACAATCAACCATTATATATTAGACCAGTTTTTTTCCCAACCTTTTGTGACTTTGGAACTCAACTCATAGGTACAAAATTTGAAAAAATGGTCAATTAGTGATATATGTATTATATAACACATACATATAATTTTAACGTAATATTTAATATATATCAAATGATATTACCTTAAAAAATTAAAGTGGCATTTTATTAAAGACTGTATTGTAGAGTACATTACAATTATAATCTTTGGTAATATTTCTAATTTAATGACAGTTTTCAGCTTTTAGGAATTTAACAGGCTACACTATTTAATTTGCTTTCAGTTAATTGTATCAGAAAAGCATGATTTGTTTAAGAAATTGAAGATTATATTTTTGGAGGAATTTTGGGATTGAGTTTTCATGAAATGTTCATTAAATTACTTGGTATGGCACCTGATACTTGGAATTCTTTTAAGCTTTTAAGAAAATCCACTTAAATCATAATAATTAATCCCCACTCACCCCCCCCACCCTCCCCCCACCCAGTGACAGCCTAAGAAATATATCAGATTGCTGTTTGCAAGCAGTTTTCTGCAAATAGCACTTTAGGAGTGGGATAAATGAAAAACCAAATTGGACATAGAAGTAACTATATTTTACTGTTTTTTAAACACCAGCTTTTGATATTTTAGAGACATCTTCAGAAACATGCAATTTTCTATTTGGTGGGAAGTATTGAGGCATAATTATTATTTTCATTTACTTTGTGTTTTAGAGTTAGTTTTGCTTGTTTAAGGATCCATTTTGAATAGCAGTTACTTGATTGATGATTTTTTAATAAACTCAAAAGTCGACACTACCATAGTGGCTAGTAGGTAGTAGTCAGCTGATTGAAAACTGCCGCATAAGCCTACTTATGATTTTTGGTATCAGCTATGGACATTACAAATGCCCTTCTGTTTTATTTTTATTTTTAATTTAATTTTATTTTTTTAAAGATTTTATTTATTTGACAGAGAGACACAGCGAGAGAGGGAACACGAGCAGGGATCCTGACGCGGGGCTCGATCCCGGACCCTGGGATCATGACCCGAGCCGAAGGCAGAAGCTCAATGACTGAGCCAGCCAGGAGCCCCTATTTTTTATTTTTGAAGGTTTTATTTATTTGTCAGAGAGGGCACGCGTGTGCACAAGCAGGGGGAGTGGCAGGCAGAGGGAGGAGAAGCAGGCTCCTGGTTGAGCAAGGAGCCCAATGTGGGGTTGGATCCCAGGACCCTGGGATCATGACCTGAGCCAAAGGCAGACGCTTAACCCATTGAGCCACCCAGGCGTCCTAGCCCTTCTGTTTTAAAAAGAGTATTATTTAATTATTTTATTTTTAAAACATATAAATTGAAATATGCCATTATTACCTTCAATGACTGGACTCTTTGGGTTTACAAACCAAAATTTAGAAAATTTTGCATTAGCTAAATGAATTTTATTCTTTGAATATCTTATGTTTTCTTTTTTGGTTTGATTTTGTGACCTAATTATATTTTGATAATTTTAGAGAACTTTTCAACATCTTTTAAGATAAGAGTGGTTAAAGAAGAGGTACCTTGTACCATGAAAAAGTTAATGTAGTCGCTAAATGCATGACTTACTAGGTAGACTCTGGGGAGAGTCTTCTTTCCTGAGAAGAAAGGTAAAAAAATAGGGACGCCTGGGTGGCTCAGTGGGTTAAGCATCTGCCTTCGGCTCAGGTCATGATCCCAGGGTCCTGGGATTGAGCCCCCACATTAGGCTCCCTGTTCAGTGGGGAGTCTGCTTCTCCTTCTCCCTCTGCCACTCCCCCTGCTTGTGCTCTCTTGCTTACACTCTCTGTCAAACAAACAAACAAATAAATAAATAAATAAAATCTTAAAAAAAAAAAAGGCAAAAAATAGTAGAGCCCAGTTTTCAAATACATCTTCTGAAGGAAAAGCCCATATTTTTTCTACTCTCTCTGTATTTTATTTATTGTATAACATCTTATAGGCAAAGAAATCGAAAGAGACTGAAGATATACCAAGCGAACCATCTTTCCAGGATTTTGAGTACCCAGAGTATAATGACTACAGGGCAGAGGCTTTCCTGCACCAGCAGAAGAGGATGGAATGCTACAGCAAAGCAAAAGAAGCTTACCGGATGGGGAAAAAACACGTTGCCACGTTTTATGCCCAACAGGTAAAGAGGAAAACTGATTATTACTTCTTTCTTTGTCGCTTACAATGTCTAAATAATCTTATAGCAGGTAATACTCTTATTGTGACTAGATTAAGTTATTCTGGGGAATGTAGATTATATAAGTGACATAAGATACCCTAATATATAGGAAATGTATGGTTCTGAGAATTACCTCTCCTTTGAAATGCTCAATTTCTATGGTTGCTTTTGCAATTATGAATTACAGTTTATTCTGACAGTCCATATTTTCTTTTAGGATAAATTCTGTCATTTAGTGCTACTTCTAAACAGAGGTTTTCTGAAGGAAAGACAACAGAATGTTAATACTGACCATCTCAGGGTGGAATTACAGGGGACTTGTGCTTTCTATCATGTTTGAATTTTTAGTGATGTATCACTTTTATGGTCAGAAAAAGAAAGTTCCATTAATATCTTTCAGTGAAGTAAAATTTTGACTCAGGGCTTATTGGACATGGTGTTACAAGAAACCTGTCTGATTTCCTTTTTAGCTTTGTGGTTCCACATGGCTTGCTTTTTGTGATTGAGTGGAGAAAGGTACCAAACTGGTATAACCCTGTGAGCCCCAATAACATACCTTGAGGGATGACTTCAGGGGTAACCACAAGGTGTTGAAAGGAATGAGATCAGAATTATCAAAGGATAAACTAAGGGATTCTTTCTTGAGATAGGTGATATTTATTTAAGTCTTCCTCTTCTATGATTTTTGGATCAGGAAATATGTTAGAAATGATGATTTAGTATTTTAAGAACTATGTTATTAATTCACCAAAATTCACCTAAATTTTGATGCCTTCTTGCATATTAGACCATTGCATTATTTAAAATTTTAGATTTGTTGTTCCCTTTTTTGTTCTACCTTTTATTTGGGGGCACTGTTTGTTTCCTCATTTGCCTTCTAAGTAGCAAATAGCAAAAGTGTTTACTGGTGATCTGTTTAAAATAAAAGGGTAGTCTCCATGAGCAGAAGATGAAAGAAGCCAATCACCTTGCTGCCGTGGAGATTTTTGAGAAAGTCAATGCCTCCCTGCTGCCACAGAATGTTTTAGACCTCCATGGGCTACATGTGGATGAAGCTATAGAACATTTGATGACAGTTTTACAGCAGAAAACTGAAGGTAGGACTTGTGGTAATGACAAATTTTCAATAGAAAATATGTTTTTGCTTATGTTGGTAAACTTGCTAATTTAGGAGAATCTGAATTCGCAGGCTTGAGGCTATCTGTGTCACATTTATAGATATTTCTATTAGGTTCATTCTTCAAGTGGACCTTCTTGGAAAAGAATCCTCATTGGCATAGTCATTAACATTTTCTTCTTATTTCCCTATTTCATATTTTTTTGTTTGTTTGTTTCAAGTTTTTATTTAAATTCTAGTTAGGTAACTCCCTGTTTCAGTTATCTTTGTATTCCTTTGCTATATTTATTAAAGGGTATAATCTGAGAATCCTCTGTGACTTATAAATGGGACCTTTCAGGAATATCATACATCTTTGTTCAGTAGACATTTATTAAAGCGAACAGATGTTTATTAGATGTCAGTTGTGCAGTAGGTGTTCAATAAAACGCAGAAGTAAATATGGTGATAGGATTTTTACAGAATTATCACAGAAGGCAGGCTTTCTGAGTGTTTGCATTATGGAGGTGCTCCCTTTCTCCCTTTCTCCCTTTCTGCTTGTATTTTTGTCTTTGCAGGTCAAGGAAAGGCAACTACCTGCCTCTTCTAAGTTCTACGTCTTCCAAGGGCTTTGGATGAGGATATTTTTCCATCCAATATCATGTATTCATATATATTAAAGTATCTTGTTTCGTTTTCATTATCAGGTGGTAGCATTTAGAAAAATTCAATCTGTTTTAGTTATTCCAGACTCCAATACTAGAAGTCATCTTCTTTTACCACCACTAGAGTATTTTTGAATTCTCAATTTGGCTTTTTCTTTATCTTCCATTTTATTGTGGAGACATGGAATCCCATGCCTCAGCTATCCCCTCATAGTTCCATAACCCTGCCCTGTCTCTGATAGCTATATTATTCTGGTTAATTTATACATATATAATATTATATATATAATGTGTGTAGGAAGGCTTTGTATTAAACTTTATACAGGTTTATCAATTCAACATATATCATTTGTAATTAATTAAATACTTGATTAAATATGATTAATATAGAGGTTGGAAATTCATCTGTTTACCATCTGTTTACCATGTTGAAAAGCTTACAGTAATATAATAAAACACCTGGGTACCCATGAATCCAATTAACAAGTGATAGCATTTTACCATGTATGCTTTATATTTTTAAGTTTTTTTTTTTTTTTTTTTAAGTAATCTTTACCCCAGTGTGGGGCTTGAACCCATAGCCTAGGTTAAGAGTCAGCATACTCTACTGACTGAGCCAGCCAGGTCCCCTATTCTTCCCAATCATTTTCTCTTTCTTCCTTCTCTTTCTAGTGGAAATCAACATCTTTCAGTTGGTTCCTGTCTAGTTTTTAAAATACCTTTACTATATGTACATTCATCAATAATCAGTCTGTAGTATGTGAATTTTAAAAAAATTAATGTACATGGTTTCACACTATACCTTCAACCAAACTTTATTTTCACCCAATATAGTTTTCAAGATATACTCATGTTGATGGTATCATTTTTTAATTGTAACTGCTGTATAGTATTCTGTGAGTACATCATAATGTATCCATTTCTCTACTCACAGACATTTAATTATAATGTCACAGTGATCTTTATTTTGCATATCAACATGTGTACTCTTATTGCTATCTTTTTTCCTGGCTTTTTATATTGAAAAATTAAGAACCCTTAGAGAAGTTGAAATAATTATATAATAAACATCCATGTATCTTTTACCTAGATTGATCAGTTGTTAACCTCTGGCCACATTTGCTTAATCTGTTTAAAATTGTTTTTTGCTGAACCATTTGAAAATAAGTTGTTAAACATCTTGGTACCTTACCTCTAAATACCTTAGCATGTTTATCTCTTGATAACAAATCCATTTTCCTACATAGTAATAGTACCATCATTACTTTTAAGATACTTAGCATTGTTATAATAATACTGTCAAATATACAGGCCACATTCACCTTTCTCCAGCTGTATGGAAATGTCTTATATAGCTGTGCCATTTTTTTCCCCCTCAAGCCAGGATCCAGTCAGACATCATATGTTCCAGTTGATTGCCCCATATTTGTAGCCTCCAGTAATATAGAAATAGATTATTGTGGCACCTGGCTGGCTCAGTCAGTAGAGCATGTGACTCTTGATCTCGGGGTCGTGAGTTTGAGCTCCACGTTGGGTGTAGAGATTACTTAAGAAAAAATAGGAATAGTTCCTCTGCCTAGTTTTTGTCTTCTGTGTTGACATTTTTGAAGGCTCCCGGCTTTGGTAGATTGACCTACAGTTTTGTCTGATTCTTTCCTCGTGATTAGATTCAATTAACTTTTTTGGCAAAAATACTGCATAGGTGATGTTAAATCATCCTTGGTGAACACATCAAAAGGCATAATATGGTCATTTTGCCCCATTATTGGTGATGTTAAGTTTGATTTCTTAGCTAAGGTGGGACTCTGTTAGATTTCTCTATGTAAATGTACCTTTTCTTTGTAATTAATTAGTAGTTTTGGGCAATTGATAACTTCGCAACTGTGTGAATAACTCGTTCTCTTATAGTATTTCACATAGTAATTTTAGTATCCATTGATGATCCTTGACTGAATCAGTTATTACATTGGTAGTTGCATAATGGTGTTTTATAATTTGTGTTCATTCTGTGTTTATTAGCAGACATTTTTTTTAAGACTTTTAAAAATTTATTTGAGGGGTGCCTGGGTGGCTCAGATGGTTAAGCATCTGCCTTCAGCTCAGGTCATGATCTCCAGGTCCTGGGATCGATCCCTATGTTGGGCTCCCTGCTCAGCAGACAGTCTGCTTCTCCCTCTTCCTCTGCCTCTCCCCACTGCTCCTACTCTCTCTGTCTGTATCTCTCTGTCTCAAATGAATAAATAAAAAATTCTTAATAAAAAAATAAAAATTTGAGAGAGAGAGAGAGAACGAGCAGGGAGGGAGGGGCAGAGGGAGAGAGAGAGAGGGAGAAGCAGACTTCCTGCTGAGCAGAGAGCCCGAGGCTTGATCCCAGGACCCGGAGATGATGACCTGAGCCAAAGGCAGATGCTTAACTGACTGAGCTACCCAGGAGCCCCTATTAGTAGACATTTTTTGATAAAGTAAAGGATCCCCCTTCCCCAGTTGTTTTTTAAACATAATTTTGGAAATCTTTGAGAAAATTTAGAAAACAGTAATAATAAAGATTAGAAAAGAAAAAATTTAAGAGCAGTTTAAATACATTATTTAATCTGGAGAAAAGAAACCTGTTATAGAAGTGGTATAAGAGAACATTCTGTCTGTAGAGGATGAATAAATAATTTACTCAATAAAAAATTTGATTATCTTATATATTCTAGGCATCAAGGATAGAGCAGTTAGACATACGGTCCCTATTTTTATGGAATTTGCTGTCTAGTAGGGTAGATGACAGCAAATAGTTACATAATAATTGGCATTGTGATACAAAAATACAGGTTGCCATGTTATATTTAGCATAAACTCCCAGATTCCTGTGTAATCTGTTCCTTGCCTCCCTCCCCATTCTCATGTTGTGTTTTGTTCCTCCTCCTTTTCTGACTTTTTACCTGTACTGTCCTTTGCCATCCAGACTCCCTGTTAAAAGCCTCTTGCAGTATTCCTGTGTATCACAGTATTTATAAAAAGCTTATTGTATAGTTGATTATTAAAGTCTGTCTTCATGGCCAGGAATTGAGTCAGTAATGATTATTAAATCATCATTGTTGAATTTCATTCAACATCCCCAAAAAACTTAAATGACTGAATAAAGAGTAGATACTCCTTTCATTTTTGGATGAGGAAACTGGTGATTTAAAAAGTTAAGTAAAATGGAAAATAGTAAGTGTTGGTAAGGATGTGGAGAATTGAACCCTTTATTTATTACTTTTTTAAGATTTTATTTATTTATTTGTCGAGAGAGAGCACAGGCAGGGGGGAACAACAGGCAGAGGGACAAACAGGCTCCCTGCTGAGCAAGGAGCCCGATGTGGGACTCGATCCCAGGCCCCTGGAATCATGACCTGAGCCGAAGGCAGACGCTTAACCAACTGAACCACCTAGGCATCCCTGAACACTTTATGTTGCCAGTGGGAATGTTAAATGGTGCAGCCATGGTGGAAGAGGTTGGCATTCCTCAAAAAGTTAAACATAGAGTTACCGTATGACCCAGCAGTTCTGCTCCTAGTTAATGTACACAAGAGAATTGAAAACACAATTCATCCACACACAAACTTGTGCATGAATGTTCATAATAGCCAAAAAGTGGAAACCACCAAATGTCCATCAACTGATGAAAGGACAAAATTTGGTGTATCCGTACACTGGAGTATTATTCAGCCACAAAAAGAAATCAAGTAGTGATGCATGCTGCAATATGGATGAGCCTTATAAACCTGCTTTGTGAAAGAAGCCAGGTACACCAGGGCCCCTTTTTATATGATTACCATTCATCGCTTCTCGGCCTTTTGGCTAAGATCAAGTGTAGTATATGATTACCATTCATATGAAATGTTCAGAATAGACAAACCAATAGAAACAAAGTACATTAGTGGTTGCTGGGGCTAGAAAGTATGGATTGGGGAGTGACTGCTAACAGGTACAGAATTTCTTTCTGAGATGATGGAATGTTCTGGAATTAGTGTTTATGGTTGCAGAATATTGTACTATACTAAAAGTGACAGAATTGTACATTTTAAAATCATGAACTTTATGTTATATTAATTGTATCTCAATAAAAAAAGATTACAAGAAAAAAAGAGTTAAATAACTTGTGTAAGGTGATACTTGGTCAGACCCAAGATACAAACCCTTTCTGAAGCCAGGCCCATCCTTGTGCAAGTTGCCACCTGTGGTAGCCTGTAGTTGCTGTCAGTCACCACCAGATGGTAGTATTGTTGACTAGAAATATATCTAGGGGACAATCTGTGGCTCTGCCCTCCACTGCTTTTAGTTATAAAAGATGATTGTCAAACTTGGGAGTGAACAACGAAAAAGATATCTGACCCTTATGTGCCTTCTGATTGAAATATGCATCACCAGCACCTATGAAGTTTTTACTACTTTGTAGGGATTTACAGGGAACAGAGGAACAGGTTAAATGGTACCATGGGGATACAGTCAACAATATTCAGACTGAAAATCTCAGATAAATGATCCAAGTTTTTCAATAAATCGTAAAGAAAATCCCAGGAGGAGGGAGAACATGTAGATTAAAAGTTACTTCAGAAATATATCAACCAAATGCAATGTGTGAACCTGTTTCAACCGTGATTTAAGCAAACCACTGTAAAAACATTTTTTGAGGGGAAACTTTTAGCCATTTTTAGAAACATGATATTAAGAAACTATTTTTGAGATATGATGGTGATATTGTGGTTGTTTTTTAGGAGTCCTTTTTGAAATAGACACTGAAATATTTACAAATGAAATGGTAAGAAATCTGAGCTAGGCTTAAAAATGAATAGTTTTTTTTTAAGGTGATAAATGTTAGGAATAGTCTGAAATTTGGGAACATTTAAACATACACATTAATTCATTCAGCAAACGTCCTTTGAACGCCTGCTTTTATCTGAGGCATGCAATTCAACTGTGGAACATTTTCAGAGCAGTGAATTTAAAATGAGGTGGTATAAATGACTGCCCTCACTGATAAGGGGAGCAGCAGTGAAGGAGTGATGAGAGTGAATTATGGATAGTTAAGAGATTTGAGGTTTTTTAAAAGTAAACTTTATAATATCACATCCATAAAGAACAGTGTACAAGTAATAATTGTATAGCATAAAAACTTTTTACAAAGTGAATACCCTGTATAGCCAGCACCCAGGAAGAGTTGAATTTTGAACAAACTATTGCTTGAAGTAATGGGTATGGACTAGAGTAGAAATGGCGATCTTGGGGTGCCTGGGTGGCTCAGTCGGTTAAGCGTCTGCTTTTGGCTCAGGTCATGATCCCAGGGTCCTGGGATGGAGCCTTGTGTTGGGCTCCCTGCTCAGTGGGGAATCTGCTCTGCCTTTCCATCTCCCTCTGTCCCTCCCTCCCTGCCCTGCTCCTACTCTCTCTCTCAGATAAATAAATAAAGTCTTAAAAAAAAAAAAAGAAATGGAGATTTTAAGCAAAGAAGGAATTAGAAATGCAGGAGCAACATACCCTCTTAAAATTCTAGGCTAAATATTGCCTTGGAGATAGGAGGCTTGAAAAACTGTGGATCTGCTGGAGTCTCAGGGCAACTTAATGAGCAGAATATGGAATATTTATATTATGTGTATAAGTATTTTATGCTAACGGTCAAATTTGTGCTGTTTATGACTGAGGAAAAAATATTTACTAAATTCATTATACCAACTCTTACTTAACACTGTTTTTGTTATTTTATTGCAGCTATTATTGACTTTTTGGTTTATACACTTAATTTTCACATGGTCATATCCAGAGCAGGAGCTGTATTTTTACAAGAGGCCTAGACTCATTTAATATTTAAAAATCATCTCTTTGGGAGAGTTTCTTCTTCTTTTTTTTTTTTAAGTTTTATTTGTTTTTTTAGTGATCTCTGTACCCAACACAGGGCTCGAACTCACAACCCTGAGATCAAGAGTCTCATGCTCTTCTGACTCAGCCAGCCAGGTGCCGTGGGAGAGTTTCTTAACAATTATCTTTAACAGTAAGACTGTATCCCATTTTACTCATAAGGAAACAGGCACAGATAGGCTAAGTAACTTGTCCATGGTCTTCCCATACAGCCATTTGGTGGCAGAGCTGCTAATCAGACCAAAGCTGGCTGGCTTCAAAATATTTAATTAAAAGGCTCATTGTGAAGACTCTTGGTTACTAAATTAAGCTGCTTAAAGCAATGCCTGACTCCAGGTATGCAATCATTGTTGGAGATCATCAGTATCACTGTTGTCATTATTATTATTTTAGAGAGAAATTCTGGTAGCACACAGAAGTCTTCTTCCCCACAGGGGAAGAAGTTGCACTTGTGTTTAGGTGGATGAGCTGCTTGGAGACTTCCATACTTAAACAGTATAGATGAAACATAGTTTTCAAAACCTCAGTGTGGGGGCTTTTTGAATTTATAAATCTCTAAGTCCCCATGAAAGTAATTTCATATGTGTTTGAGTAGTTGAGGTTTGTTTTCTATTGAGAATGTAAGATAAATAAATTTTGACTGTTGCAATTCCTGTCGTAACAGAATTTAAGCAGAATGGTGGTAAGTCCTCTCTCTCCGTGATTACGGGGAGAGGAAACCACAGCCAGGGAGGAGTTGCTCGCATCAAACCAGCCGTCATGAAATACCTCACAAGCCACAGCTTCAGGTGAGTATAGAGTTCTGTTACTGATAATGGCGATTGCCCATATACAGATAGTTAACACCAGTAACATGCTCAGATGAGTTATTAAAGAAGTTAGCTAAATTTAACCATCTGATATTAGCCACAAATTCATGCTTAAATTATGATATAACATTCCCTGCTGGATTTAGGATGTTCAGAAAACCAGAAATGAAAGACAGATAATGTTTCTTGTTGAAGGAATCACCTGACAAAACTATTTCTATCGTAAATTTAAAATCTAACAGAAAGTAAGTATAATTGTGTTTCTTTGACAATGAATTATCCAAGATTATTAGATTGTATATTTCATAGTTTAAAGTTAATAATTAAATATAATTATTCATATGTGGATTTTGGAAGGAATTGGGTGTTTCTGCTAAAATATGATTATAATTTGGATTTTTGAAACTGCAACAGAAGCATCCAGTCAATATAAATTTATACATCTTCATAAGTCAAGTGCTGTTAATGATCGTAATTGACAAACATGAAATGTCTTTTTTCATTAAGTGATTATTATTCAATAACAGGAAATGACAAGAAAAGTCCAAGAATAAAGATCTGTTGATGGATAGATTCCCTGAGGATGTTTATCATTAGGTACCAACCTCCCCCTACTTCTAGTTTTAGTTAGTGTAGCATATTTTGTTTATGCCATGTAATAAAATGTTGTTTGGCCACATTATAGAAAATGGTAGCATTAATTCTGAGCATGAAAATAGATGACATTTTAGAGTTTCTGTTAAAAAAGGAGTAATTGGACTAGAACATTATCGTGTTGGGATTAATGGTCTATTGTAGAGACTAGTGTTTTTTAAATTTTACACCAAGGGACTTGGAAGCATTTCATGGCCTGATGAATCAGACTTACGATTATGTTAGAGATTTCTTTTTAGTACTCACTTAATGCATAGAAATAATGTAATGCAGACATCATCTTATCCTTCATACAGCATGGTCTTCTTCATGAAGGTCAAATTCCAGCTTGAGAGTTTGAAAAATCTTAAATAACTACTAAGTTAGGAGTAACCCCTAGCCTTAGGGTTATTTATTTTTACAATGGATTAAAAGGTGCATAAGCATAGATATTGGTCCTGGATGATTGACTTAATAAAGGAGAATACTTTGATAGTAAATATTATATTTAGCATAGACACTTGGAATTGATTACATGCATGATATATTCCTTAACCAGTTTGAAATTTTTACCTAAAATAACTCTTTTCTCATTTCTGTAGGTTCTCTGAAATTAAACCAGGGTGCTTGAAAGTCATGCTAAAGTAAAATAAACATCCTTGACTTAGAAGTGTGAAGGTTTGTAGGTTAAAATTACTTTTATTTGCGGTAAATTTAGTCAATTTTACTGTCAACGTGTTTATTAGAAATGTCCACTTATAATAAAAACATGATAATGTTTTTCAGAATTCAAGAGAAGTTTAATTTTTTACTGAAGCAAATGCCAAATATGTTGTCTGTTAAAAATATTAAAGAGAATTTTTATTGATTATAAAATGTCTAAGAAAAGTGTCAGCTGCAGTTTTAAAGTTTGAAATGCTCTGATTCTTTCTCAGAAAATGTTACCTTTGTATTAATTGTTGTTTAACATTTAGTAAAATCCTAAAGGCATCATTGAGAGATATTTTAAAGTGCTTTGAGACCTGGTTCATGCCCATGAAAGCCTTGTATTAAAAGGAGAAGAAGAAGAAGAAGTAGTAGTAGTAGTAGTAGTAGTAATGAAAGAAAGGAAATCTAACAAAAACACTTGAATACTTTTTGATTTCAAAACTAAATACAAAAAAAATGTTTCATTTTGCCATATCCTACAGGAAGGAAGACATGCCATTTGCACTTTCTTCTGTTTTGTATATGATACTGATCTCTTACCTTTTGTTCTGTGTGTGTGCATTTTCTAGGAGGAAAGTTGGAGCCTGAGATTATATTACAGTTTTATACCTTCCGTAAGCAGAAAAGTTTTTAGAGAAGAAATGGTTAGATAATCTACCAAGTATTGGTGTCTTATAGAACTGCTTCTAGAGCTATCTGTGTAAATGGTATTTAAGACGGTACTAAAGAGCTATATTTTATATTTGAAGCATATGATTTCTAAACTGCAGTAGGTCGAAGTCCTCTATTAATTTAAAGCAAATAGAAAACATTTTTGATATAATCTTAAAAGGAATCTTTACAATTTAAAAGTTTTTTACCTTTGTTTTTAAAATGAGCCAACTTTCTGAAGAGAAACTTTCACTGACTTCTTTTTTTGTGTGTGAGCTAAAAAGTCCTGTATGTCAATTATAATTTCATTTACACAAGTTTAATATGGTAAAGTATAATTTTCCAACATGAAACAATGGCTTAAATAAATTTGACTTTGGATATGGAGAATATTTCCAACATACGTAATTTAACAAAATGGTTGTGTTGCTTTTTGATAAGCTTAAAAATCATTTGGATCAAGAATTACAGGGTTGAGCTGTTACTGAAAGAATCCTGAATCACAGAATGATTTCCCAAAAGAACAGACATTTTAATGAAACCAAAACTCAAAAACACGTTTTTATATATCATGGAAGCATGCTTTTAAAAGAGCTGTATCATTAAATTTATTTCCACAAAAATAAAAATGTTTATTATTTAGAAATGGTTAGTGAGTGGTATTGAAATATTATTCTTATGTTTGATAATAATTTGTTTAAAAAAATGCCAACAGTTTAGCATGTTTTTTGTAATGTCTAGAAGAGTTGTATACGTTAAAAATAAAGCAATTCATTTGGAGAACTTATTATAAAACTATAGTTGTTAATGAAATAAAATATTTCTATGTGTAAATTAATATGATTTAAGAAATGTGAATAACAATGCTAAAACCTGGAATTAGAGTGTGTGCAGCTGCATACTCGCTTTCCATGTTCTTATGTTTCCTCACCCTGTTTAAAAAAGAGTCGCTTTTGTGCACTTCAGCTAGATTTATTTCAGTGTTACTATAATTATGATTAACATGGGAGCAATCAAAAAGAAAAAGGGGTGAGGTATTTTGTGGGCAGAAACCAAATGAAAGAAGCTATGTTTTCTGCTGTACCAACCTTAATTTTAGGCTTTATTTTGGTAAATCTAGGATGTTTTTCTTAATCATCATTTATAAGTATAGGCAAATTTTGAGCATCTTGTGTTTTTATGAAGTTGTTTAATTTTAAACTGCCTCCCACCCCACTGTCTAACATAGTTTAAACAACACAGAATTATGAAAGAAAATCTTACAGTTGCTTCTTTCTTGTTTTGCCCATTTCTAAATCCTGTATGCCAAAGGTTCGGGGATTATCAAATTCTTTTCTTGCTCCTTTCCAAATCCTGTGCGTCAAAAGTAAAGACAGTGTGGGGATTATTGAAGTTTTCAGGTACTGGTATATTTGTGCTAATACATGACTCATTAGGATGGCTCTTTGCAAGTGCATTGATCCTCTAAAAGTACAACACTTCTGTAGTTTCGAAGGTTTTAGTAACAATTAGATCTTTTCAGTAGTCTCTCACCTGTATCTACCAGGAGAAAAAAAGAGAACTAATGTGGAAACCACAGGGGAAGTGGGTTGGCCTGAGGAGGCTCACTAACAGTATTTTCAATTCATCCACTTCCTTACTTCAACACTGAGAGTTGGAAGCATGTTGTCTTAGATTTATTGGCTGTTCATATATCTCTATATTATTTTCAAGTTTCATCAACTTATTTGTGTTTCCATACTATTTGCAATTCTATGGCCTTTAAATATAGGACATATTATACAGTAGAAATTCTGACTTATAATTTAAAGTGTTTTGTATATTATAACACATTTTGAGAAGAAAAGTAAACAGTTCTCTTGGATGGTTTCCAGTCCTTATTTTGGTCTTTCTCTTTTTAAATTCAAGTGTTTTGTGTGCTTAGAAAAAAGGACATATATAATAGCAAGATTGGTTATTTCTGAGCTGGAAATTGGAAACTTTGAGACTCAGGAAATTGCTCTGACAATGTTTTAACTGCTCTCAATTTAAGAAAATGACAAAATGTATAAAAAAGACACAAAAATAACATGTGCTGTTTTTTCCAAGTGCTTTTTCTAAGTGCTTTTCCATTGTGCAATGAGGTGAAGTTTGGTAATTTTCTGTGTAGTGGTTATTAAATATTGCTTATTTTTATTTACATGGTAAAGAAAACAGATTTAAATGTGTGGACAAAAAAAGTGTCATTTAAAAGGTAAATTTATGTAGAATGTATGTTAATGGTGCTTATTTTTAAAATGTAATTGAAGTTTACATATTACTTAATGCCTCTACAGAATTTAGTAGAGAAACAAGGCTGGAATACATGTATATCCCGAAGAGCCTTTTGTAACTTAACATTATATAATGACAAATTTTATTATTTTCCTTAAAGTTGAGCAGTTGACTTTTATGGTCCAAATGATGAACCTGTTATTAACAAAAGATTGAATTAACCATGAAACTTCTCATTAAAATATAATATTGCAGCTATCAGTTGGAGAATATAAGATTTTCAGACAGTATATCAGAAATGAAATGTTTTTATTTGTACTATAAAGAAAATGTAATTTTGCTGTTAACTCTGTACTTTTTTATTGAAAATGTTTTATAACTTTGCTTTTAAAATTTCTTATGAAACCATTTGCAAATAACATACTTAATTTAATAAAATACTTTAGCCACAGTTCAGTGTGAGGAAATCCTTCATTTGATGTGGTAGGATTAGTGGTTTAAATATTAAAATATGTCTTTATATGTCACTTTGTAATTTCAAGGGAAAGAAAAGGGTCATAAAGATTTTATTTCTGTACCACAACTTGTATTCTTATTTTGCTATAGCAAATTGGGTCCAGTTTTGAACTAGATAAACGGATTAGCTAGGTTTATTTTTTCACACCTTTGTATCTTTTGACTGATGGCAAAGTTAAGAATTGTGGCTCTAAGAAACTCAAGTAATACTTTAATATTAAAGACCTTTGAACTTTATTCATTCTAAAGCAGAACAATTCACTCATTTAGCAAGGATTTCAAAATATCTATTCAACAAATACTTATTGAGACTTGTTACTGGAGAAACAATCTGAGACAGAGTTTTTATCCACAGGTATCTTATAATTCTCATCAACTATCTGTGTATAGTTATTTATAGTATGAAACACTTCCATATATGTTATATTTTAAGGCTCAAGAGAATCTTATTACATAGTGTCTTATAAAGCCTTAGAGAAGTTGACTCATTTGCTCATTAAGGGCAGAGGTAAGACTTGAACCTGGGTTCTCTAACTCCTACTATAGAGCAATTATATTTTTCATAAGAATAAAAATAATTACTTGAAAAGAAATAATATCCTATTATCCCCAACTAAGAGAGATGTGGCTCCACAGTATATATCTTTGAAAAACTGCCACTTAATAAATCTGTCTTCCTCCTTTATACAAAGGAAGCTGGTATCGTGGGGTTTTTCCAGTAACAAAGATAAAAGTTTATTTCTCTCTTCATATAAAATTCCAGAGATAGACACTGCAGGACCAATGGATGTGCTTTTTTTCCATGAAGTTTTTGGAGATCTAGCGTCCTTTTATTTTAGTTCACCACTTTTATCATACCCAAGGTATCGTCCTCAATTCCTAAACCAGGGTGGGTAGCTAGAGCTCTAATAATCACATCTGCATTCTGTTGGCAGAAGGACAAAGAAGGGAGCAATGGGCAAGTGCCAGCAATCTTTTGTAGAGTTTTGGAAGTTGCCATTCAACACTTCCACTTATATCTTACTGGCAGGAACTTAATCATGTGGTCACATCTAGCTGCAAGAGAGGCTGGGAAATTGTCTTTATTTCAGTCTACTATATGTTCAGCTAAAATTTGGGCATTCTCTTAGAGGAAAGAGAATGTGTAGGGGAATTCATAGCAGTTTCTGCCACATCATTTTTGATCATTGGATGCAAATAATGTGAAAAACAGTTCTTGATGCATTCCTTCAACATATCTTTGTTGACGATTACCCTGTGCTAGGAATAATAAAAAGGAAATCACAGTTCTATTTATTTTAACTTAAATATTCAAATGATATCACTAACCAACATGGCTGATTAGGGTGGTGGTTCCTGAAGGTTTGAGGTAATTGTAACAATTTCTTAAAGTTTGCTGCATTGATTGACTCTTCCTTTTCTGATGATTTATTTGTAGCATGTGATGGTGTTGGATAGCGTTTTACCCACAGCTGACCTTCCAGAATCGGAGTCAGTCCTCTCGAACCCTGCCACTACTTTATCAACAAAGTTTTTTTTGATAGTCTAAATCCTTTGTTGTCATTTCAACAATCTTCACAGCTTCTTCACCAGGAGTAGATTCCATCTCAAGAAACCACTTTCTTCGCTCATCCATAAGAAGCAACTTCTCATCTGTTAAAGTGTAACGAGATTACAGCAGTTCAGTCACATCTGCAGGCTCCACTTCTCATTCTAGCTCTCTTGCTGTTTGCACTACACCTACAGTTAGTTTTTCCACTGAGGTCTTGAATCCCTCCATGTCATCCATGTGGGTTGGAATCAGTGTCTCCCAAACTCCTGTTAATGTTTGTATTTTGACCTCTTCCCATGAATCAGAAATGTTCTTAATGGCATTGAGAATGGTGAATCCTTCCCAGAAGGCTTTCAGGTCCATCAGAGGAATTACTATCTATGGCAGCTATAGCCTTATGAAATACATTTCTTAAAGTAATAAGACTTGAAAGTCAAAATGACTCCTTGATCCATGGGCTGCAGAATGGGTGTTGTGTTAGCAGGCATGAAAACAATAATCTCATACATCTCCATCAGAGCTCTTGGGTGACCAGGTGCATTGTTGATGAGTAGTCCTATTTTGAAAGGAATCTTTTTTTCTGAGCAGTAGGTCTCAACTGTGGGCTTAAAATACTCAGTAAACCATGTTATAACAGATGTGTTGTCATCCAGGCTTTGTTGTTCTATTTATAGAGCATAGGGAGAGTAGACTTAGCGTAATTGTTAAGGGCCCTAGGTTTTTAGAATGGTAAATGAAAGGCTCAACTTAAAGACACCAGCTGCATTAGCTGTTAGAAGGCAGTTTCGTCTACATCAAAACTCTGTTTAGTGTAGCCACGTTTGTTCATGTTCTTAACTAGGTCCTCTGGGTAACTTGCTGCAGCTTCTACGTCAGCACCTGCTGCTTTACTTGCCCTTTGATGTTATAGAGGCAGCTGCTTTCCCTAAACCTCATGAACTGCCCTCTTCTAGCTTCAGACTTTCCTTCTGCAGCTTCCTCACCTCTCTCAGCCTTCATAGAACTGAAGAGAGTTAGGATCTTGCTCTGGATTGGGCTTTGGCTTAAGGGAATTATGTGGCTGGTTTGATCTTCTATCCAGACCACCCAAACTTCCTCCATATCTGCAATAAGGCTGTTTCACTCTCTTATTCATGTGTTCACTGAAGGAGCACTTTTAATTTCTTTTCAAGAACTTTCCCTTTGCATTTACAACTTGGCTAACTGATGCAAGAAGTCTTGCTTTTGGCCTATCTTGGCTTTCGACAAGTTTTCCTCACTAAGCTTAATCATTTTTAGTTTTTGATTTAAAGTGAGTGACGTGTGACTCTTTCACTTGAACACTTAGAGGCAATTGTAGGGTTATTAGCTGGCTTAATTGTGTCACCAACAGACTTGCTTGATGCAGGGTTGCCACAGATCTTCATTGTAAAACTGCAGTATCTGTGAAGCGCATGCAATACAGCAAAAGCAGGGAAAGGAGGTATGCCTTGTAGTTGTCCATCTGACTGAGTGCACAATATTATGCTTTTTGTTTTTTGTTTTTTGGTTTTTTTGGTAGCTTCTACTATCTCAGAAAGATGTCTGATATATAGAATTGGGGACTCAAAAATCAGGGGAAACAAAACGAAATTGAACCTAAGTCTGATCAAGCCTGTAGATCTAACAACCAATTATATGAATTAACAGAGGACAGAGGAATACGTCAACACCATGGGATGTAACCACCAAATACAGACTGTGGGATGCTCTAACAGCACAGTTTCTTCAAGTAACTTACAAAGGGGGGGGGGAACACAGATGGATAGGGAGCCTATACATTAGGATGGAAAAGACATATCAGCCAATTGCAATTTGTGGACTTTATTTGTTCAGCAAAAAACTATTAAGTTTTTAAAAATGACAATAACAAGACGATTGGCAATGGGAACATTGACTGGACACTTAATTATATTAAAGATCTATTTATTTATTTATTTTAGGGATGATGATATTGCAGTCCTATTAGGAAAAATAACAGTTTTTCCCCCTCCTATCTCCTTCTGTCTTGTGTAGGAAAAAACCCAGTCCTTCCCCCTGTGTGTTTCTTTTCTGTGTCTCTTTACTGCTCACACAAAACACCTTCCTCTGGTCACCAAATGTGTGGAGTTTTTTTCCGACACCAAGCAATTCTCTTGAATTAAGTTGGGTGTCTACAATTCAACTCCGTTCTTACACTGCCTACCTGGAGATAACATCCACAGTTAAGGGTTCAGTCCCACAAGACTGTCCAGTTGCAAGTAGTAGGTCCCCAGGTTACTCACAACTTCTGTCCAACTTGGCTATAAACTGGGGGTTCCCACAACCCACTCCTCATGGTTTGATAAATCTGCTAGAGTGGCTCACAGAACTCAGGGCAACACTTCCTTATGTATACCAGATTATTAAAGGATAGGATAAAGGGCACAGATGAACAGCCAGATGAAGAGATGTTCACAGATGAACACCCAGACCGGATGAGGTCTGGGAGGGTCCCGAATGCAGGGGCTTCTGTCCCCATGGAGTTGGGGTGTGTCACCCTTCCTATTTGGATGTGTTCATCCATCTGGAAGCTCTCCAAACCCCATAGTATTGGAATTTTATGGAGGTTTCCTCACATAGGCATGATCGATTATTAACTCCCATTTCCAGCCCTTTTCCTGTCTCAGGATGAGGGCTGGGACTGAAAATTCCAAGTTTCTGATCATGGCTTTGTCTTTCTGGTGACAAGCCTCTAACCAGGAGCCCACACCAGAGTCACCTCAATAGATGCTCCTTAGCGCTTTTATCACTTAGAAATGGGTTTTAGGAGCCCTGTGTCAGGCAGGGATGGGGTCAAAGACATATCAGAGTGAGAGATGCTCCTAGTGTTTTTATCACTTAGGAAATTACTACAAGGGTTTCAGGAGCTCTGTGCCAGGAACTGGAGGCAAGAGACCAATACGTTCTATTATCTCAGAGTGACTATATTTTTTTATAGAGTCTTTACTTTTTGAAAAAGAGATATATGCTGAAATACATAAAATGATACGATGTCTGGGATTTACTTGAAACTATGATGAAGTGGGTTGGTGGGGGGTGCTTATAAAATAAGAATGGCCTAAGTTGGTAAATGTTGAAGCTGGGGTTTTATTAGTCTATGGTCTACTTCTGAATATATTCAAAACTAATAAAAAGTTTTTTAAAAGTCAGTGAAGAGCTCAAGAAGTAAATTCTAGACTGGGCTCAGGGAATGATTGCCTGTCCTTATATGAACAAACCATGTTCATATAAGATGGCCAGAACACTGCAGAATTAACCTCCTGCCACCTCTGCCTTAATTAAAAGGCCACCATGGCACCATTGCCATGCCTGCTCTCAGTGTACCCAGAGCTGGTGACCAGACACCAGAAATCTGTTGCTGAAAACCCTGACCTCTCCATAACTTGACGTTTTATCAGAATGAGACACAGCAGTAGATGGAGGGCCTTCAACTTACTTCTGCCTCCCACATTTCATAAGAGTATATCTTAATTGGTGGACACTATTGCATATCCAGATTTTTACCTGCCAGAGGGGTCTAGGAAATGTAGTTTTAAACTTCTCAGTCTCTATCGTACAAAAAGGCTCATTAGAAGAAAGCGGAGCAGAGGATGAATTATCAAATGATGGTCCTTGTCAAATCAGACACTAGAAATGGGTTGATACAGTTATCACAAAAGCTTGTAATGTCAACTGGGGTATGTAGATACATGCCAGGGGCTGCCACGAGTCCAGGATAAACGTAGCAGATCTTTGAGGAGCATTAATTTCACTCAGTGGCAAATAATGCACATTATTATTTAATGTACTTTATTTGTATATTAAAACAAAAATGGACAAATTGTGGGGAAGAATGGACAATTTTGCCTTCATTTTTAAGGTAAAACAGTAAGGTTCAAAGAGATTAATCTTTGGGCTATTTACCTGGACTCCCTTTCCCCAGGACAATGGTTTTCAAACTTTAGTGGACACAAGAATCATCCACAAAAAGTTCAGTTAAAATCCAGATTTCTGCCCTCCTTTAGACTTCCTGAATCAATCTCAGAAGGTAGGGCCCCAAATTTTAAATAAATACCCCAGTGATTCTAATGCAGGTGGGGCCACACCTTAAGAAATGCTACCCTAGTGGGATAGCCCATCACAAGGACTTTATTCTTTTTTTGGCTACTCAAGGTAATGTTCCTTGGCTTCTATCCCAATTCTGGTTTGCAGGTCCTCAACCATAATCAATTCTGCCATGGGACACAGAAAGAAACCCTGCATTATTTATTTATTTATTTATTTAGTTTAGTTTACATGGAGCAACTTATTTAATCCTCATAAAAATCCATTGAGGGAAATTGAGGCATAAAGAGGTTAAGCAACTTGCCTAATATTACATAGATAAGAGATGATGGAACCGATTCAAATCAAGGCAATCAGGCTCCAAAGCCTTTGTACCTTTCCATGATGCATATTACCTCTCAGCAATGGTGAGACTTAAAATTTATGGAGGAGAAAAGCAAGATACATTTTCACCTGGTCTGTCATAGTAAACCCATGAACCTTCCCGCCGCCCTCACTGGCAGTCTCTTCAAGACCCTTTTAAGTCTTCACTAGTTCTCTCATCAAAGTTCTTCCAGCTTCTGTCCACTGACAAGTTACAAAGCTACTCTTGCATTTTAAAGTTTTTGTTATAGCAGAACCCCCATTTGGTACCAAAATCTGTATTTGTTATCTATTGCTGTGTAAAAAAGTCATTTTAAAACTTAGTGGTTTAAAACAATAAAAATATTTCTCAGTTTCCCAGAACTCTTGCAGTGGCCTAGCTGGGATCATTTTGGGTTGGAGTCTTCCATGAGGTTGCAACCAAGATGTGGCTTGGTGCATCTGTCCATTGAAGGCTTGACTGAGGCTGAGAAATTCACTTCCATGGTGATGGCTCATTCACAGGGCTTATAAATTGATGCTGGTTGTTGGTGGTAATCTTTAATTTCTCCCTATGTGGGCTTCTCCATAGGCTGCTTGAGTGTCCTTACAACATGGCAGCTTTCTCCAGAGTGGACAACCCAGGAGAGCAAAACAGAAGCTGCAATGCCTTTTAGGACCTAGTGTTGGAAATTGCACACCATTATTTTTCCCAAATTCTATTTGTTAGAACCCAGTCACTAGGTACAGTCCACATTCAAGGGTAGGGGAATTAGCTTTACTTTTTGAAGGAAAGAATGTTAAAGAATTTGTGGACATCTTTAAAAACCATCCTGTCTACCATGTGCCAGGCAGGCATCCCTAGGTACTTTGCAAATGTTTCCAGTATAATCTTATAGCCATCTTGTGGAGCAGCTATTATTGCCCAAATGGCAGAAATTGTTGGCCTACACAACAGATATTCTTATTATCACAGCCTTTTTTGTTTAGGTATCTGGTGGTAATGTGCTTAGGAAAGCTTGACCACTCTCTGGCCCCAGAAAGTGAATTAAGATTGGTTGAAAAGGCAATCATGGTAATCCCATTTCCTTTTGCCAGTGACTGGCTAAAGAGTGGGTATTTGGAGCGCCTGGGTGACCCAGACGTCATTAAGCGTCTGCCTTTGGCTCAGGTCATGATCCCAGTGTCCTGGGATCGAGCCCCGCATCAGGCTCCCTGCTCAGCAGGAAGCCTGCTTCTCCCTCTCCCACTCCCCCTGCTTGTGTTCCCTCTCTTGCTGTGTCTCTCTCTGTCAAACAAATAAAATAAAATAAAATAAAATAAAATAAAATAAAATAAAATAAAATAAATAATAAAATAAATAAAATAAAATAATAAAATAAAATAAAATAAATAAAATAAAATAAAATAAATAAAATAAAATAAAATAAAATAAAATAAAATAAATAAAATAAATAAAATAAATAAAGGGTAAATATTTGACCAAGCCAAAGGGACCTAAGGAGAATTCTAGGAAGATTCTAGGAAAGGTTTCCTTCACTAATAGAGACACATGGGAGGAAGTGCACTCTTCTTCTGCAAGACTTCGTGTCTGTATGTGATGCCTGGTATTGCAGTCACCAATGTAGTAACGTGAAGAGATACGCCTAAGGCCCAAGTCAATGTGCTGAGGATGGTGGAGCATAAAGAGGAAAGAATCTTTGTTCTTGATGACATCACAGAGCCACTGAATTAACCCTGGAACTGATTTTTAGCCACTTTATTACGGGAGACAATAAGCTCCTTTTGCCTGGATTTTCTGTTACGGCTGCAAGTATCCTAATGGATAATACCCCATTTTTGGGGTAAGGAAACAGATGTTCAGGGAGATTATGTTGCTTGCCCAACTTTACCAGCTAATAAATAGAACCAGGTTTTGGATTGAGAGCTGTATATCCTCAACACCTGGTACTTGCTTATTGTATCAATTAAGTGATTTTTCTCCCAATTTGTAGAAAGGAGGAGAAACAGACATCGGTTGGGTTAAAAAAGGTTAGTGGTTGTCAAGCAGAATCTAGAGGGGGCTGGTAGAGTGGGGAAATGGAGTTGAGCAGTGAAGGTGTTATGGAGGTAAAGAACAGGTTCAAGAAGTGTCGAGGAGAGGGAAGGTAGAAGGAGGTTGTAGGAAGGGAGAGAATATCAGAGTTCAAGATATTAGGACTGTGGTATTTGTTCCCAACATAGTTTGATTTGTGGCTGAGCATAGAGATGATGGTATCAGAGTGGAGAAGGTCACAGAAGTGATATCAAACTTCTGGATCATCCATTTTAGGTACATATTGTACAGGAAGGTGACAGGCAATGAAGTGGAGGGGAAGATTGAAAGCCATCTGCCCAAAGTATGGATGGATGAAAACATGTTTTCTTTATTTGTATGGTCCCCATCCTTCACACTGATAGGATCTGACTCAACATAGCTCCACTTTGAGGAAAGATTTATAAGGATTATTCTGCTTTAATCTACTGTTTTGCACATACTGGAGGGGTGAGATGGATGGGGTCATCGGGAGGAGCTGAGAGGATTGTGGGAAATGAACAATTTCCCAGGTCTTTCTGAAACAGTTGTTTACAATAGGATTTCGTTGTTTTGTTTGCACACTTCTTTGCTGATCATTTATCCATCTGGATGTATAAAAACCAATAAAATATACTTAAAAAATTACCCACTAGTTTGGTTTATCTTGGTTTCTCTGCTTGTATAAACAACTGAGAATTGATGGCATTCTCCTGATTCTCTTTGCTAAGATTCTGATGTGGATGGAGCTGCATAGTAAGAAGCTCTCACTGTCTTGTTAAGCTCTGGGCTAAGTTTTTCTTTTCATTGTTCAGTTTTTCCTTAGGTAAAATTAATTTCTTCCCTTCAAAAATAATGTTTGGCATTTGGTTACTTAGGAATCTATTTTTAAAGTACCTTAGTAATTTGTTATTACATTCATGAAATGACACTATTAGCTAGAATTTCTGAATGTAGTTTCTCCCTTGGCCCTTTTACTTTTTGGTTCTTGTCCTTGGAGTCATGTTAAAAATTTGCCTATGATGTTATTGTAAACTAACTCAAATCTTTTTAGGAAATAGGCAGGATAGAAATCAACCAGTCTATATATTTAAGGGGAAAAGAGGCAAGGTGCAAAAGTGTATTTACACTTTTGTGTTTTTTAAGAAAGGATATATGTAGGGGCGCCTGGCTGGCTCAGTCAGTGGAGCATGTGACTCTTGATCTCGAAGTTGTGAGTTCAAGGCCCACGTTGGGTGTAGAGCTTATTTAAGAAATCATAATAAAAATTTTAAAAAGATACACGTAGATAAATCTACTTATATATTATACATCTTTTTCTAAACACACACAGACATACATATACACATACATACATGAATGCAAACCCACACATAAAATGAGCAGAATAGATCTTGGGCCTCAAATGACAACCTCAGATGGTCTTGGGCTTACAAGATAGTGAAAGTAATTCTAATCTTTGTTTGCATTCCTCAGAAAAACTTATCTGAAACACTTGTATTTTTCACAATACAAGTTATATAAAACATAACTTGCATGAACACCTCTTTAAGTCTGCATATCCACATAGTCTTTATGTCTCTCACTCTCTCATATCCAATACATACCCCAAAGCCTCTGTCTCCCCACTTTTGCCAAAATTCTCCCTGTTATCTCTGCCAGTACTAGTCCTCATCTATCACCCCTCTACCTGTCTTTCCATTTCCATTTTTTTTTTCTCCCCGTAGTGAGTAGGCCTGGGCTTTTTGGATATAAATCTCCTACCTCAACTTCTTCGCTTCTATATTTATAAGTCCCCCACTCCTGTTTGTCCCATCTGCATGATAAGGCAGTGGGAAGTAAGGATGTAGGAGGTGGGAAGGGATGAGGGTGCAAATGTCAAAATGTTCTGTTAGTAGGTAGGAGGATGGAAAGAAGCTATGGATCCTTCTATAGTAATAATTTTTGTCCCTGTTATATGTGAAGAATTTCTGAAAGGTTTTGTAAGAAACTGTGAAAAGCAAGTTACCTTAGGGGTGGGCCTGGGGAGTCAGAGGTAGGAGAGGGAGATTTTACTTTCATTATCTGAACAGAGTTTTAAAAAGACTGTGTGTATATTGCTTTAAAAATATTTTTAAAAAATAGACATAATTAAATTAATAGATGCATATTTTAAAATATAGTGAAAAAAGCCAACCTTGATAGAGTGAGTTATCTAGTATGCAAATGAGATGCATATTATTATATTTCACTTTAGGCAACAGTGTAGTACCAAATGTTATAGTCAGATAATTTAGCTGATGTTGGTGATGATCTAGTATTATCAGGAAAAGCATTAATATACCTTTTCAAATTCTTAAATGGATACTTTAACTGCTGGAAGAAAGAAGACAAATCCAGAGAGCTAATGTGTGGGTAATAGGAGTTCCAGAGTGAATTACAAGGGTAAAACCAAATGTAATAGATGCAAATTTTCCTGACCTGAATGAAAACTTGTATTTGCAGTTGAAAGTGCCCTAAGTCTTAGGCAGAGTTGATGAGAAAAGGCACACACTTTAAACATATTCTGACAGCATTTCTGAATCCCAAGGTTGAAGAGAAAAACCTTGTAAGTTTCTAGAAAGAAAGAAGAAATAATTTACAAAGGGAAAAGAATCAGACTGGCGTCAGACAGTGGAATAATGTCTATCTCTATTAAGAGAAAAGGAATGTAACCCAAGAGGTAGGTCTCTTTCCAGCCTAGCACCATTCACCTGCCAGGGGGAAAGGAATGCAGAAATGTAAGGATTCCAAGAATATATCGCTCATACCCCATCCAAGAAAACTATGAAAAGAGGGCTGTAACTAAACAACAAATTAATGAGAATAGAGATCTCAAGAAAGGAGAAGGTGAAGTAGAAGGGAAAAAGTGGTGAGTGAATAGTGAGCTTTGTAATTTATGTGGCTAATAATTGAATGACTGGGAATATGTACTATATATGTTAAATAAAGACTCTTAAGATAAATGTGACTCTACTAATGAGAGCCTGGAAGTAAAAATTGCAAAATTGTTCAACAAAACCCAAAAGGTGGGGTTGGGAGAAGAGGAGTGGAAAGTAAAAGCATTCTAGAAGTGTCATCTTACTGAGGTGGAGGAAAAGTATCAGGAAATAGACTAATATGGTAGGGAAATCACATCTTTTCAGAAAATAAAAAGGAAGATAACCACTAATGGAATGGGAAAGTATATAATTTTGAAATTAATAAAGGAAAAAGGAATAAATTATAACTTGATCATAATAGTAAATATAAATTAAAGGAAATAGGGAAATCAAGTATGTTCAATGGTAAGCAAAAATAAGAGGGAAGGAATAAAATCAAGAATATCAGAGATTATATTAAAGATAAATGAACTCCGTTTTCCTATCCAAAGACAGAGATGTCACATTAGATTAAAAACAAGCCTAGCTATACGTTGTCCATAGGAAACACTTAACATAATAAAGAAATATTCTAAAATATAGAGATTGGAAAAGCAGTACCAAACAAATGCAAGCAAACAAAACTAGAAAGAGGTGGAACTCTCAATGAACACGAAGAAGAAGATTTCCTATGAAGGGCATAACATAATGAATATATGCATCAAACAACATAATAGCTAAATATACCAAAATATTATTAGTAACATAAAGATAATTTCATAAACATGAAATTAGAGTGGATTTGTACTATACTGTTTTTAGAAATAGATGGACCTAGTAGACCAAAAAAAAAAAAAAATAACATCATACCAAAGCATATAATCAACATGCATACTTTAATAAATACATATGGAATCTTACATTCTTTATTTTTTTCAGAATCTTACATTCTTTAAATAAAGATTACATATATATTTTCCAAATGACCATTGACTACTTACAAAACTGGTCATAAACTTTCCCACAAAAAAACAATCAGAAATTTAAAAGTAGAGACTTTTACAGGTCACATTGTCTGATGAAATTAGAAGAAAATTAATGAAGAAGTAAATCTTAAAAAGAACCATAAAAGATATTAGAAAAGAAAGATAAAAGCGCCCCCCCCATAAACTCCTTATGAACCAGAGGGTAAGAAAACTAGTAAAAATCAAAATACACAGCAATTCTACTCTACAATTCTCATGGAAATAAAAACATAAATCCCAAGATATATATTCAAGGATATTTATTGCAGAAATGTTTGTAGTGGCAAAAACTGGAAACAAAGTGAATACCCTTACAAATGTAATTATCAAACCAGCCATATTATAGCAAGCTGTTAAACACCATACAGCCACTAGAATGGACAAGTCCGTTCTCGTCCAGCAATCTATTGTAACAAAGTTCCCCAAAACTTACTGACTTAAAACAACAATTTTATTATGCTTATGGATTCTGTGGGTCGGGGATTTGGAAGAGGCATAGTAGAGACTCCAAGCCCAATGGAGATGGTTTGTCTATTCTCCATGGTGTCTGAGGCCTTACGTGGAAAGCAGAGGGAGACTTCATGGAAGGGATCTGGAATTATTCAGAGGCTCATTCACTTCCATATCTAGCTGTCTGGCCTGTTGGCTGAAACCTTAACTAGAGCTGTCTCCTAGAAGTTCTACACATGGGCTCCCAGAGGAATCTGCACTTCTACACAACATGGTAGCTGAGAGAGGGAGGGAGGCAGACAAGGAAGGAGGGGGCAAGGAGGAGGAGGAAGAAAAGAGAAAGAGGAAGAAGAAAGGGGAGAGGAGAGGGAGGAGAAGAAGAAAGAGATAGAAACAGGTTGAAGCTATCTCATCTTTTCTAACTTGGTGTTAGAAGTCACACAGCATCACTCTACCACCTTCTATTTGTCAAGACAGTCACAGGCCCACAAGGTTCAAGAGGAGGGAAATAGACTCCACATTTTTATTTTTTATTTTTTTGCCTCCACATTTTTTCTAGGAGAGTGGCCAGTTTCTGGAAGAGCATGTGGGACAGGATATGTTGTGGCTGTTTTTGGAAAATACAGTTTGCCACAGATGTATACCAGTTAGCTTTGAGGGCATTCCATGGTGTATTATTGTTAAACAGACAATAAAATCAACATGTATATAAAATTCTGTTTTTGTAACAGTGAATGGCAACTCCGATATATGTGTATATTATGATTATATGAATGGAGAGGAGACCACGTAGAGATAAAGAGCAGGTGGTTAACTTTGGTCGAGGGCCTAGATGGAGGGCGGAGGTAAACAAGATGAAAGTACACATATACCTGCCTACCTACCTACCTACCTACCTACAAATACAAGAAAGTGCTAGTAGTAGAGATAAAAAAATGGGGAGTGTGTGTGGGGCAAGGTTGCATGTGTATGTAGATTCTCAAGGACAAAATTCAGAACAACGGGAAGGGCTGTGATGTGGAGCCCATGTAGAAACCTGCAGCATCTCTTTATAGAGCTTTTTGTAATTTCCAATTTCAACACCTATATCAGCAGAAATAGACTTCAGTCAAATGATGACCCTATTATCATCAGGAAAAGTAGTTTCGTTTTTCTTGAAAAATATGTTTTCCATCCAGGTTTGATATTTTTCTGCTAATATTTCAAAAAAAATATCATACTGGCAATCTTTCTCTTTAGTGGTGTAATGTCTGGTCAATGTCTGAATGGTTACAATCACTTCATGGTTTCAAAGTTTTAAGTCTTACCAGTTATAAATGATAGTGGAAGGATTGCTTTCTAACGTCTAAATTTATATTCCTCTTGGTATATCAGTATTACTTTTTGTTTCTGAAAACACTTTATTATATATGATTAAGTCCTGTGTCTGCACTTATTAGCACTCCTATGGGTGCCAATTATCCACACCTTTCTTTTCTCTCCGTGCTTGCTTTTTTTGGGGTTTTCCCTAAACACTAGCACTCTGAAGAGGTTGGGGAGAGGAAGAGAAAAGAGAACACAAGCTGAAGAACTATTCCTTGTCTGGTGTTCTTGGATAGGCTTGCTTGAAACCAGCATTTAAACGGAAGTTGGCCAAGAGTTCACTAATACCCTAGAACCACCTAGGGTCAGAGAGATCATTGCCCTCTGAAAGTGTGGTTGACTGTCTTCCTCGTAATCCTTTATAGATGGATGCCCTCTTGAATGGTAGCAGTAATTCAGGATGGAGAATAAATTTGAGGACCTTATTACAACTTTACCACTAGAGGTCAGAAATTAGCCCGTGAATCCTTTACAACTTCATCAAGGGAGTGCTGGTAGTTAATGCTTTATGTATTTTTCATTTGGTTCATACTTCTGATGAGGTTCAGGATACTAACCAGATACCTTTGAGGTTTAAAGGGAACTCCTGCATCTTTTTTTATACCAAATTTTAATAACTGGATTACTTGGAAGTCTTTAATCCACCCTAACCTTAATTTTTTAATTTTTTAAATTTTTTAATTTTTTGCCTACTTACTCACTGAACGCACACACCACACCAACATAAGTGTTCATTGTGGTAATATATTTAGAGGTTACAAATGAAACAGAAAATGAACTCGGTAGACTTCTAGTAAGGATACATGCATGAGCTCAGCAGACCTTATCCGTTTTTGTGTTCTATTGGAAATTGTTGATTCTGTGTATTTTTTTCAGCTGTATCTTTTTGGCCCAGATGCTACCAAATGAGATAATTTCCTGTTCAATAGCTCTATCAAGTGATTCATTAACTTATATGATTGAGTTAATGTGTCATGAGCCATTGAAGACTGTACAACTATATTTAAAGTATCCTCATTTTGTTTAATGATGTCTTTTCTACTTTAGTTCCTCTTTGGTGTATTGGAAAGTGATTGAAACTAGGAAATAAGTAAAAAAAAAAAAAAAAGAAAGTAGGAAATAAGTGATATAAAATTTGTTTTTTACATGTTTACAATTGAGAAATTTAAATATTTTTTGGAATTTGAGAATTCAGTTTTAATATTTCAATAAAGCAGATTGACATATTTTATTTAGTGGTGTCCAGTAATGACTTTATCAGTTAGGCTGGAGTTGGGGAGAGGCATTTAGATATGTTTAGCCTATCTTTCTGGGTTGCATATTTAAAGGACTGGGCTTCAACTTCTCTCAGCCCATCTTCTGCCCTTGGCGAAGCCCTCCAAAGCAAAGCGCCAGGACATGCTATCATGAACATTGTTTGCTCTGGGCTTACCCCTACTGCCAGGAATGAGACAGGAAAATAGGAGCCAAGCTCCAGGAGAAGGCTGCTAACCCCCCTTGGGAGGATGACAGTGCCATCTTGTACCTTACTTATTGCTGCTGTGATTGATGTCTCTGCTACCTTTGCCCCCAGGGATAACGCTGGGGGATAGTCCCCATGCCACAGTGGCCAAAGAAGTAGTTGAAGGCTGTCTAATGACATTTAGGTTTAGCTTTGGATTATCTGTTAGATGTGGGTGGGTATTATGGGTTGAGTTGTATCCCCTCAAAATTCATGTGTTGCAGACCTAATCCCCAATACCTCAGAATGTGATCTTATTTGGAGATACAGTCTTTACGGGGGTAATTAGGTTAAAATAGGGCCATAGGGGTGGGCTTTGACCCAGTACACTGCTGTCCTTATCAAAAAAGGGAAATTTGGACACAGGGATATGCATAGAGGGAAGACAATATGAAGAGACATGGGATGAAGATGGCCATCTGCAAGCCAAGAAGAGAGGGGCCTAGAACTCTCTATTAATCCCATTCAAAACAAAAACCTGCTAGCATTTTGGTGACTTTCCCGTCTTAACCTTTTTGCTGCGTGTATATATGAAACATTTAAATAGTTGAGATCGTATTTTATATATTTTTTGTATCCTGCATTTTGCAATGAAAGTTAAACCATGCACCTTTTCTCATGTTATTAAAAGTGTTAGTTGTAATCGTTATAAATATACTCCATAATGTGAATTACTGTAATGTAATTTATTTCCCTGTTGTTGGACATTCATGCTGATCAGTTTTCAGCATCTGTCCTCATTTCTAATTATTTCCAAACTGGATTCCTAGATTCCTTTTCATCTTTTGTTATCTCCCCTCTTCTTCTTTGATTAGATCATTGTTTATGATTCTAGGAGCAGAGAGTGTATAATTTGAACAAAAAAAACTCCCAAGATGATTCCGATAGACATACCCCTGTCCCTCCCAACTTTGGTTAAGAACTGCAGGATTAAGGCAATGAAGTCACTCTGGTGACTGGAAGAAAATATGAGAAGGACAGGAACCATAATAAAGGCCCAAACAATTGTGATGTATCTTTTTTCACTGAGTTAACTTTTAATTATTTAAGCTCCTAGTGCTTGCATCTAAAACTCACAGTCAAAGCAGGTGTCACCAACAGCCAGCCTTATTCTTCTGCCTTCCAGAATTCTCCTCCATTTTCCAATCTGGAGGGGAGGAGAAGGCCTGAGGCAGTGCCTGGCTGAAGCTCAACTTTGAAAACAGCATTTCCACAGTATTTTGGACATGGGTTGATTATGAAAGGGAAGAGTTAACTAGGTTCTTTGTGGGATAAAAGGTGATCTGCTGTCATGCAGAAGGAAGGAAGGGAGGGAACGAGGTTGCTTTGCTTTGATTTTTAAGACTTCTTGCTCAAGGAGAGCACAGACTTAGCATGAGGATATCCAACTTCAAAAAATATATTATTTATTTGACAGACACAGCCAGAGAGGGAACACAAGCAGGGGGAGTGGGAGAGGGAGAAGCAGGCTTCCCGCGGAGCAGGGAGCCCGATGATGGGGCTCCATCCCAGGACCCTGGGATCATGACCTGAGCCAAAGGCAGACGCTTAATGACTGAGCCACCCAGGCACCCCGATATCCACCTTTTCAATATCAGACAAATTCTCTCATTGCCTGTGATCAGAAACCCTATTTGTAGGGCATAGGACTTTGGCTCTTCTGGAGGCTGCTCCCAGTTCTAACATTCTACCATTTTCTCTGCACTCAACTGGCGCACAGGCCTTTTTTGAGAGAACAACTCTACCTTTATAAATCATTTGTAGCCTAGATGTCTGCTGGGATCACTCTGTCCTTCGAAATTCAAATAAAATTGCCACAACCAAATGCTTTTATTAGGAAATGAGAAAGACTGAAAAGAGGAAGACCAACATTTCACTTGAGAAACCAGAAAAGAAACAACAGAATGAATCAAAGAGGCGAATTGCTTGCTCAGAAATGAGTACAATTCAAAAGCAGTCTTGGGGCGCCTGGGTGGCTCAGTCAGTTAAGTGACCGACTCTTGATTTGGGTTCAGGTCATGACCTAAGGGTTGTGATGGAGCCCCATGCGGGGCTCTGTGCTGGGCGTGGAGGCTGCTTGTGATTCTCTCACTCTCCCTCTGCCCCTCCCCACTGCCCTTGACCTGTGCATGCACGTGCTCTCTCCCCCTCTCTCCCTCTACAAAAGAAAAACCAGTCTTTACCTTTCTGATGCCTGTCTGTGTCAATACAAATGAAAGAGATAACAGAAATAAATAAATTAGAAAATAAAAATATAACAAGAGTTGGTAAGTAAAACCAGAAGCTGTTCCTCATGATATATAAATGTTATAGAGAAGATTCTTGCTGACTCATTAAGAAAAATAAAAGAAAAAAACGGTTCAGCTTTGGGCATAAAAAAGGTACCCACAGAGATGGAAGAGATTCAAGAATTAAAAGATGAACTAGCGGTATGTGGGCAACATGTGCCTTTCTGGAGATTCCAGTGATTATTAACAAAACATGGGCATACTTTGTCATGGTAAAAACAATGAACCATCGGGCGCCTGGGTGGCTCAGTCGTTGGGCGTCTGCCTTCGGCTCAGGTCATGATCCCAGGATCCTGGGATCGAGTCCCACATCGGGCTCCCTGCGCGGCAGGAAGCCTGCTTCTCCCTCTCCCACTCCCCCTGCTTGTGTTCCTGCTCTCACTATCTCTCTCTCTGTCAAATAAATAAATAAAAATCTATAAAAAAACAAAAAAAAAAACCCCCAAAAAACAATGAACCATCTTGGTCTTCCAGCCACAATGCTAACAAGGATAATGATCAGGCTCTCTAAATAACAACATAAAGTTGCCTGGGGCTAAACAAAGCTCGGGAAAGGTTTGAACACAAAGTAGTCCCTGAGACTTGCTAAATGTATAGATTAAATGTGTAGGAAATGAGCTTCCCTTGAATGTGAAGGGCGCATTTGCCGCAGATGAGACAGGTTTGTGTAACTGGTGTTGGAGAGACCCGTCAGGGCAAGACTCAGAGTCGAAACATAATTCCTACCTTATGTCCTTCTATTTCCTTAGAGCTGGTTGAGTTTTCTCGCTGGTGCTTCTGTTTGATTTGATGTGTGGCGCCTTGCCCTTCTTATTTGCTGTCTTCAGTTTTCTGTCTGTCTGCAGTTGCTGAGTTTCATTTTTCTGATAGAGGCAGGTGGCAGAAAGGTTAAGACCATTATAAGGATTGGCGGCATTTCTGGAGTGTTTATTTGTGGGCTATTTCAGATATTAAAACAGTTTGGGAAACTTCTGTCATCAAGGCATGGCAAAATAATTGTAGCTAATGTTTACTGAAACTTTCCGTGTTGCAAAGAGTGTTCTGAGCCCCTAGTAGGTACTGACTCATTTAATCCTCACAAGTGCCTTATGAGGGAACCAAGGCACTTAGAAGTTAAATTATTTTCCTGAGGTTATACAGCATCATTAAGATTTGAACTCGGGCAGTTTGGGGCTGGAGTCTGTACTCTTCATTATTACGTTATTGTCATGTCATTTTGGTAGAATCATAAATCATAAAATAAAGGAAAATCTTGTTTACATTTGGAGTGGCAAAATCTTTCTAAATCATTTCCAAAATTAAGATCTTGGGCTTGGCAAAAGACACCATAGACAAAATTAAAAGACAAATGACAGATCAAGAGATATTTTTGTTAAATATATAGAGACCAATTATTGATATCTTTAACATATAAACATTTTTTCCTAAATCAGTATGAAAAAAGAAGCCGTTTATTTATTTATTCATTCATTTATTCATTTATTTATTTGTCAGAGAGAGAGTGAGAGAGGTAAGCAGAGGGAGAGGTAGGCAGACGGAGAAGCAGGCTCCCTGCTGAGCAAGGAGCCCGAGGCAGGACTTTATCCCAGGACCTGGGGATAACGACCCTAGCTGAAGGCAGACACCTAACAGACTGAGCCACCCAGGTGTCCCCAAAAAAGAAACAATTTAATAGAAAAAAATAGAAAAAATCAGGCACAAGATATAAATATGCATTTCAGAGAAAAAATGTAAATGACCCATAAATATGTGAAAAGATGTTAAATCGCACTAATTATTTAGCTTGAGACCACTTTAAAGCTGACAAAAGGTAAAAAGATTTATAACATCTAGTGTGGTGAGAGTACAGGCCAACAGGCCCTCTCGTGCAGCAGTGGTAGACTTCTCTGGAATGGAGTTTGGTAATAGCTACTACAATAAAAAATATATCTACTCTGAAACCTTGGAAAGTCTCTTCCTGTCATTTATTCCAGGAATATTTAATTGTTAGTGCACAATTGCACTTAGGTGTTAACAGTATTTTGCACTAGTACTGTTTGTAATAGCAAAAAAGAAAATTTACATCAATATGGACTAGTTAAATTAATTATGCTGTTTCCATATGATGGAATACTATGCTGTTCTTATCGAATGAGGTTAATTTATTTGGAAAGATGTCCTGGGCATATTGATTGGTTAAAACAAAACAAAAGTAAGTTGCAAAAAAGTATGTCTAACATGACTCTATTTCTGGTATAAAGAAAAATGATATGCAAAACATATATATAAATAGCATTAAAACATGCTAATATATGTACAATATTGGTTCTAAAAACCGTTGCATTTTGGAAATACAGCATTTCCACCCACTTTTCTGGGGGCTTGGGGAAGCATTTGCTTATTATAGGCTCTGTTTTCAGCTTCCCCTGAATGTACAGCCTTTTGGTGTTTCACTTATGCTGTGGTTTTACTCTGCCTTGACCCTTTCTTCTTGATTTTCCCAAAAACCTGCTCATGCCAGGCTATTGTTTATATTAGATTTTTACCGAGAATTTGCTAACATCAGGGAATTACATTGTAGCCGAGTGCAATAGGTGACTTAATATTTCATACTAGTCCTCTTCATTCTTAAAACTTCTTTGGTCAAATCTTAAGCCCCCATCTCCTCCCTAAATAGCCATTGGTGGCTCTGGCTTCTCACCACATTGCTAGCTCTTCCTCTTCTTCAGCCTTTCTGTTTTCCTTTGCATGCCAGCCCCACACTGCCAACTTTCTGTTCATTTCTTCTGGATAGCAATTCAGTGATACTGTGGTCATTCGTCTTCTATAAGCCATTTTTGTTACTAGCTTAGCTCATAAATTAATACATCAGTTAGCATTTGGTTTAATTGTGTATGACGGGGTGCCTGGGTGGCTCAGTTGGTTGGGCGACTGCCTTTGGCTCAGGTCATGATCCTGGAGTCCCAGGATCGAGTCCCACATCGGGCTCCTGGCTCCTTGGGGAGTCTGCTTTTCCCTCTGACCTTCTCCCCTCTCATGCTTTCTCTCACTCTCTCTCTCAAATAAATAAATGAAATCTTTAAAAAAAAATTGTTTATGACAGAAAACCCTGAAACAATATTGGGATGGGCAAGATAGTTATCCATGTCTCTGTTCTGCACAGACCAAACCCAGAGATAGATGCTCCAGGGCCGGTGGTGGCAGCAACGCGAGCATCAGGGACCCAGCCTCCTTCTAGCTTGTTCCTCCAAGCTCAACTCACGGGTTTCATCTCACGGTCCAAGTTGGCTGTTCAAAGTTGAGCCTCTAAGGGGGCACCTGGGTGGCTCAGTTGGTTAAGCGACTGCCTTCGGCTCAGGTCATGATCCCGGAGTCCCGGGATCGAGTCCCGCATCGGGCTCCCTGCTCAGCGGGGAGTCTGCTTCTCCCTCTGACCCTCTTCCCTCTCGTACTCTCTGTCTCTCATTCTCTCTGTCTCAAATAAATAAATAAAAATCTTAAAAAAAAAAAAAAGTTGAGCCTCTAAGAAGGAAAGGACAAAGAAGAGAGTACCTGTTCCTACTAGGGACATTTCCTGGAAGTCGCCTGAAGGTTGCCCACACCTCAGTAGCCAGAACAAAGCCATATGACTACATCCAGCCGAAAGGAAGGCTGCGCTCTATTGCTGTTCTCCGGGGCTGCAGTGTGCTCAGTTGAAAATTATTTTCTATTACTGAGGAAAGGGATTTTGGAGAATAACCATCAGTCCTGGCACAACTAGCAGCCCTTATCTTGCACACAAGGAAAGGTCAGACAGACGCAAGAAACACACACAGAGGACACAGGAATGTTCGCTGTGGCTGGAACAGGACATGTGGTGGGAGGCGGGGCTAGAAGGGTAGGCAGGAGCCATGTGAGGAAGGGCTTTGACAGTCAAATTGGAAAGTTTGAGTCAGCCAATAGGGAGCCAACTATAGTCTTATATCTGATATTAATTCTTCCAGGGATTTTTATTGCCCGTCTACATGAGTTACTCTATTTAATATTTTCTAATGTAAAAATTATAACCTGTGAAGTCCAATATTTAGAAAATAGAGGAATGGATAAAAACAATTTATTGTCAATCCTATCCCCCCTAAGACAATTCCTGTTAATGGTTTGGGTTTGTTTCCTCACAGTCTTTGAGAACATTGTTGTAATCATAGTGCATTTATAATCCCAAGTTGTTTTTCTTTTTCCTTTTATTTTCACATAATATTACCCTATGAGCATCTCCTCATGTGGCCACACTGTCCTCCTAAATATTATTTTAAAATGACTGTATAATATCCCAGTAAAGTAATCTAACCATTTCTTTTTATTTTCCAGCTTTATTGAGATATATTTGACATACAATATTGTATATACCTAACCATTTCTACATGACACTCCACACTGGTGGCCATTTAAATTGGGTATTGGCTAAATTTTTTTTTTTTACATTTTGAATGATATTGATAGCTTCAACTTCAAATTCTTGTTATGTGTTACTATATCGTTACAGGACATTCAGTTTCAAGTGTTAGAATAACAAACTGTGGCTTAGATAATGCAGGCAGATAATTTTCTCGCATAATAAAAATTAAGAGGTGGTGAGTGAGTCAATAATGTTCTGGTTCTGTGTCTCTGTAGTTTTCTTGGCTTTCTCACTTGTCCTAAGATGGCTGCTGTAGGGCCTGGGTGGCTCAGTTGGTTAAGCGACTGCCTTCGGCTCAGGTCATGATCCTGGAATCCTGGGATCGAGCCCTGCACCGGGCTCCCTGCTCCACGGGGAGTCTGCTTCTCCTTCTGACCCTCCCCCCTCTCATGCTCTCTCTCATTCTCTCTCTCTCTCAAATAAATAAATAAAATCTTTATAAAAAAAAAAAAAAGCTGCTGTAGCTCCCGGAGCAAAGCATTCTCCTGTGGCAACACCCAAAGCATAAAAAAGGAAGGTGCTTTCTGACCATGTCTCCCTGATCTAACTGGTGAGGAACATCTTTCCCAGGAACCCTCAAGAAGACTTTTCCGAATATTTTATTGAGCAGAACTGGGTCACATGGCTACCCGGAGCCGCGTGGAAGCTGGGAAGCCAGGAACCAGAAGATTCTCTTTCACTGTCCTGGACTAGACATCATGGTTCATCCCCTGATTTGGGACTTTCTGCCCGTCCTGAAATACAGGTTCTGTTAGCAAGGAAGAGGAAATGGCTATGGGGCAGGCAGTCATCCAAATTAACAGTTAACATTGGCACTCATTGTAGAGACAAAGAAAACCACAGAAACGTTTTTTTGATCATATTCTAAAAAACTAGTCCTGTATTGCTAAACAGGCTACAATAGAGAGCCAAGTCCTCAAAATACAGTGCTGTGATTTCTCATTACTTTTTTCTTTTTTTTTTTTACATTGAAACCACATCTGCCTTTTTTTTTTTTTTAAGATTTTATTTATTTATTTGAGACAGAGAGAATGAGAGAGAGCACATGAGAGGGGGAAGGGTCAGAGGGAGAAGCAGACTCCCTGCCGAGCAGGGAGCCCAATGCGGGACTCGATCCAGGGACTCCAGGATCATGACCTGAGCCGAAGGCAGTCGCTTAACCAACTGAGCCACCCAGGCACCCTGCCTTTTTTTTTAAATAAAAAATTTGCAGCAAACCAAGAAACTGAAGTGAAACCAATTACATTATAGTATCATTAAAGAGAATAAACTGTATATTTATAGTACTTTTTTGTAAAGATTTTTTATTTTTATTATTTATTTGACAGAGAGAGAACACAAGCAGGGGGAGTGGCAGAGGGAGAGGGAGAAGCAGACTCCCTGCAGCCACCCAGGTGGCCCTTTATAGTACTTTATCAACAGCAGCTTGTAATGTTTATTTTTCTGATT